TGCAGTACATGTTTCAAACTCATTTCTTTTGCGTGTGGACTTCCAATGGCGCTTAGAAGTTCAGATTTGAATATTTTTATGTTGTCCCATCAGTGACCTCAGGGACACTTCTTGTGCCCGTTCAGAAAAGCATCTCCTTCCCCAACACAGTGTCATCCTTCAGTCAAACAACACTGTTTTTCTGTAGAAGGTGAGAAGAAAATAATTCTATTTAAAAGACACCCATAAGCTGAATCCCATGTATGTAGCTTAATTCTTTCGAGGAGGTAGCAATCCTCACACTCTTCCTCTGCAAGTGCTGTAATTGGTTGTCAGATGAGCTGATTGACATTGAGTTACAGACCAGAAAAGAGTTTTGCTTTGTTCTCAGGGCTGCCACCAGAGCGGCTCTGTTGACAGCCTGCTGCGGGCGATGAGCTGATTGGTGCAGCTTGCTGAAACCCACTGTTAAACATGCAGAGGTTTGCAGGCTGGCTGGGAGAACTGGCGCTGTGGGCAGCAACCAGGGCTCTGCGTGCCTGTGCCTTCACCTGCACAGCGCTGCTCTTGCCCTTCCTCTTGAGCCCCGTGGGAGGGCCGGCCGCCAGCCCTCTGTTTCTGTTCCTTCGTCTACCTCGTTCTCCCCCTCCACCCCTCCCATGTCTCTCTCCCTGCTCCTGACAGCTGGGGACACGGGGGTGGGGGGAGAGGTATAAGTCTTCCATGACTTGTGTGTTGTTAACTGCCCTTGAGTGTCCTCTGTCGCAGCAGGAGGCCACATGCTGGCCCTTGGCCTTGGGATGTGTTCTGGAATTCTTGGAGGATGCCCCCTTACCTACTTTGATCTGAACTCATGCATTTTTCCAGTAAAATTCTAGCAAAACCCTTGCTCCTTCAGCTCCTGACCTAGTAGGATGCCTGTAGCCGTCTACCTTGAGTCCCTTCCTGGTCCCACAGCTGTCAGGAACAGGGCCTTTTCTACCATGCTCACCTGCCACGATAATTTCCACCGTGTGCGTGGCTCTTGGGAACCTCCTATATCCTGCACAGGTGAACCATGGAGGAGATGCATTTGTCCAGAGGCTGCCCTCCATCCTCCTCCATCTGCTCATGCCCTCCCAAAGGGCAGCTAGGGGAGGGCTGTTTGAGAGCTCTCGCACTGGGCTCTGCCAGTGTGGGCTGCCCAGGGTGTTGGGGAGCCTCAGCAGGTCTCAGTTGAGAGCAAGACACCAGGCTCCTCTTCCCAAAGACTCTCATAGGCTCTCCAGAGGGGTCTCTTGGATCCTCTCCCTTGACTTAGGGGTGCACTGCTTGGGAAAACACATTTGTCCTGCTTTTCTTTTTGCGTTTCCTGCCAGGACTGTCCCCTGCGGTGATACGACTGTCCCCTGTGTCCAAGCTTCTCTTCCTTTGGTGGAAGTGGGTGGCAGAGCCCGAGCTAGCCACATCTCACCACATCCTTCTGGGACAAATGAAGCTGCTCTGCCTGAGGATGCAGGGGCAGTTGTTGTCTGCTATCCCTACACTGATACGCTGAGGTCCTTGACACAGCTTGGGCACTGTAAGGAGAGACTTCCGAGTGTAGGCTCCTGGGGGGCAGCGACTGGAAGACATAGCCCAGCTCGGTGATGTTGAGCTATGGAGATGTCAGGGTGGTGGTGGAACTCTCTGAGTTTCTTCCACTTGTAGAAACTTCAGCAGGACTTAAGCCCTGAGAGATGGCGGTCTCTGAAAGCTGGTGACATGCAATCACATAATCAGCCTGGAGGCAGCAAATGATTTTATTTTGTGTTCTTCCTCAGATCTGAGGGTCTGGTTGTCAAGAGTGTTTGTGTCCAGTTGTGACTGTAGCGTCCGCTCGTCCTCACACTGTGAGGTCCACTGCTGTGACTGAGTGGTAACTCTTCTGTTCTCTCTGGGAAGGCTGTGCTTTATTCGCTTGCCTCCACTGCGGTGGTTGGGAAAGAAGATGTCTCCTCTTACGTGGAATTAATTACCATCATTAGCTTCTGTTTTCCCTGCTAACCCTGTAATTACAAACCTGTCAACATTCGGAACAGCACCATGCATCTTCCTGCTGCGGGAAAGACAGAACCAACAGAGCTCTGTCCGTTGCCCGCTCTCTCCTCATGCCGGCTCGCTCTCATGCCCTGCTTTCTAACCCAGCCTTCCCTTCTGAATGATCAGCAGCCACCTGCATTGCTCCAGTGTTGCCCCGAGATGCCCTCTTCCAGTGTCTCCGGGACCCCAGGAGCTGCCCCCAGCTCAACTTTGGCCCCCTCCCAGCCCTTGAGCCCTTCATTCCCTGTCTTCCCTGTGGCCTGGAGGACACCCTGAAGTCGTTTCTTCAGGCAAGGCACCCAAGGGCCACTCCTACCGCACACTCGTCTGTCACAGGGTTATTTCCTTTTGCACATGTGCACACCCTGACTGACATCTGAGCCTGGGCTTTCCTAAGATGGCCCTGGTCTTCAGGAGCTCGGAGCAGGACCAGGAAGAGAGGCGGCCACGGCTGGGAGGGAGCCATGGGACACCTCTGCGGCTCCATCCTTCCTGTCACCCTGGCTAGGCAGCCCTTGGTAAATCTGCCGCCCCCCGTTTCTACTTCTGGGGCTCCTGGTGGCACTCAGAACCCACCTCTCACCTGGCTGCCAGCAGCTGCCTAGGTCTCCTGAAGACTTGGGTTGCAGCGAGTACAAGAGTCATGCGTGCCAGCTGGTCCTGGAGCTGCGACACTCATGCTGTTGGTCCAGGGGCCGCTCTGAGCGCAGCCTGTCATCCTGTCCTCTGTTCTGTTTGTGCTGCGGTGTTTTCTGGGAAGAGGGCAGGGCCAGACCAGTGACCCCACCTACCCCATCTTCTCTCCTCTCCCTCTCTCCCCCACACCAGCCCTGAGGATGGGCGGCCAGGCCCTGTGCACTTGCTTCTCCCCTCCATGTGCTACTCCTTCCCCTGCCACCGGGGGAAAATCTCCCCCACATCCTTGGCCCTTGGCTGAGGGCACTGGGTGGTGTCACAGTGAGCCTGGCCTCAGCAGAATCAGGAGGGCAGGGGCAGCAGCTCTACACCTCTGTTCTGCAAGCTGAGCACAGCACAGGTGTACAGGTTTGGGTGCAGTTCTGCTGGCCTGGGAGAACCAAATAGCCCTGCTCCGCAGATGGGGCGAGTGACGAGCTGTGGCAAGGACACAGTGCTGGGCCCCTGGGGGAACAAAAGGGGGATGAGCAGGTGGCTCCTGGAGACTTCGTGCAGGCCCACCCTCCAGAGTGACAGAGAGTAAGCCAGGGAGGGAACGGGAGACCTCTGAGGCAGGGGCTGTGGCAAGAGGGCCCTGCTGAAGGCAGGGTGCAAAGTGGAGATACAGCATTGGCCCCCAAGGGCACCCATGTGCTGGCTGCTTCCCCTAGCTATGGGAGCAGACTTGTAGCCAGATGGGCTCCGCTCCAGCTGTCTCCACTCTTAAGGCCACCCCAGCTCCCGGAGCAAACCGCACTGCCTTTCCAGTTTCACATCCTGGGCCTCCAGCTCTGGCTCCAGCTGTGCCCTTGGCAGGAAGTCTGAGCCTGGAGAGCTCTGCTCCTCCCTGCACCCTTTCGGCCTCTGGGCCTCAGGCTGGCTGGGTGGGGCACATCCCCTTGTCTGTCTCCATGGGGATGGACCCGGGTGCCCACCCAGTGCTCTCCACAGTGACTCCTCCAGCCTCTGGTAATGACTGCGGGGACAAATGTGGAAGGCCCAGTGCCCACCAACCCTGCACTCTGGTTTGTATGTGGCTTGTCGACTGGCTGGGAGTCCTGTCCTCGCAGAGCCGCCTTCCCCGCCTCCCAGCTGCCTCTGCTGTGACACCCATTCATGGGGGACATTTCTGGCTGAGAAGTCACTAAGTGGCCTTCCCCCATCATTGACTCCACGGCCCCACCTTCCTGCCTCTGCCCTGATTTATGCCAGGCATCCTGGAGCTGAGCCTGGTCACTGCCCTGCCCAACGTCCCTGCCGTCATCTCTGCTTGTGGATCTGCCCTGACCGCTCCAGGTATTGTAATTCTTCTGTGTGAACAGCTTGGCCATGCTACTGCCCAGCATTGCTGTGGGCTCCTCTCTGTGCTCAGGGCCTGGCCTGGAGCAGCACTCATGCCTTCCTCCTGGGTGTGGCCCACAGCTCCTTGTCAAGTGCCCACCACACATACGATACCATACACCTACAGCTGGTTTACCAGGTGTCTTATCACACTGACAGGCGGTGGCCACCAGTGTGGTATCAGCCCCTTCAAGTGTACTAGGGACACATGCGTGCAATGTGCACGCACACACGCACATGCTTACATACAGTAGGGACACAGGGTTGTTTTACATCCCAGGGTATAAGCCCCAGTAGCTCTCTGGAAATTGTCCGGGAGGAACTTCCTGTGATGGCGATATTTGCATCCTTGCAGTCCAGCACAGAGTGCTTGCCATGTGGCCAGTGCACACGAGAAACTGAGCTTTGCACTGTTTCCTTGATGAAACTGTAGAGGTAGCCCGTGCAGCTGGTGGCCACCCGCTGGGATGGCCCACTGTGGCCCCGCTTACCCCACTCTAGCCCTACCCTTCCCTGTCCACAGCCCTGAGCTGCACCTGTAGTGAGGGTGCCTGCACTGTCCTGGTAGTACCTGCTCACCTGCGGGACCAGGACTTGAGTGCCTGTGTTTGGCCTCTGCCAAAAATGCCTGGGACGAAGTGTCCCATGCTGGCCACTCCCAAGACCCCTCCACCCCGGGGCCTGGCTTCCCCTGTGTGTGGGAAGACGAAGCCTGCTGAGGCCTGGTCACATGGCCACACAGCAGGTTCTGAACTTGTCTGAAAGGTGTCTTCATTGCCAGTGGACCCGGCCCACCTGTGCCCCGGGCACCCTCAGAGCTTGTCATCCAAGTAGCTCGTGGGCCACAGACAAAGAAGCAGACAGACAGAGAGTGAGCACGTTGATCTTACCCTCCTTAGATACACGACTGAAAATGAGGCAAATGAAACAAGCAGACAAGACAGTGGCGTCCTTTGTAAGTTTAATAAGGTACAGCTTGATGTTCCAAACTGAAGCCAGTGTCCCTGGCTCCAGGCACACCCCTCCCAAGCAGTGCAAAGGACATCCTCAAACATGACATTTAAGATGACACTTCATTTCTCTGACAGTGACTCCTTGAAGTGCATCTACAATAAATAAATAGAAAATATATCTTTGTTCATGGTGACACCTACAAGAAGTGTTTATATACAAAACACACTGTACATCCAACTCCCGAAAAAGGACCAGCTAATTCGGCAACAGGAAAAGACACGCATTTCAGAGGATAGTTATTTTCCTTAGAGGCCTAACTCACTGTCACTTACAAACAGAAAGAACAACAAGAACAGTTTTCTAAGCAGTAAGGAAATTTGTGCCACCAATAAAGTGCCTGGTCATTGCCACTTTGTAAGCACTTTAGGAGAGAAAAATCTTCTGTACAGATCCTGTCGTCTCAAATATATGTACAACTCTGAGAAGTTTCCAATAGATATTTTTCAAAGTGAACTGACCCAAAGACATTCAGCATTCCTGGCCACCCCAAAAGTGATCGCGTCCTAAGTGGTTCACAGTGTGAGACCCTTGTGTTGGAAGAGCTGGAGAAGTCAACGGCTCTAGACAAGAAGGGAATGAGGTCGCTGTGACTCCCTGCCCACTCAGCTCCCCAGAAGGGTCCTTCTCACGCTCTGGGCTTTCAAAGCAGCTGTGTTTAAGAGGCAGGGTCCCGCTGTCACCTTCCAGCAGCTGAAAGGCCAGCTGGGTGGGCAAGACCTTTCTGGCAGTCGGCTTAGCCTGGGGAGTAGGCTTTGGGACGGGTACAGAGGGGCTGGGAAGCCCTCTCTCAAGGAAAGAGTTTGTGGCTGGGGCAGGGAGGGGACACATGCACTCAGGAGCCCCTGGGAGGCCACAGGCCACATTCCCTGGTCCAGGGACAGCAAGAGACCCAGCAGGGCCCCGAGCAGTAGATGAGAACAGTAGCTCTTTGGACTTCTGTGTTGAAGCGGCTCACTAGGACCCTGGGGGGACACAGTCTGCCAGGCCTTGCCGTGGGAGCGCAGACACAGTAGCACCAAAGGAGTGACCGCCACCACGGGGCTCCAGGCAAGGGCTACTGGGCAGTATGAGCAAAGTGACGGCAGTGCAGGGACCTCAACACCCAGAGGAGGGCAGGCGGGAAATAGCCACCTGCTGAAGATGGTTTCTTCTGCTGCCTCTCTTCCCATGGAAGGGGACCAGACCCCTTCTGGGAAGCTACTTCAGGGGCCTGGTGTCCAGCGCTGGCTGTTGAGGCAGCATGGTGTGGCAGTGACTGCTGAAAAGGGGCCTGGGTTGCCCTGTCCACGTGCTCCCCACCCCCAGGGCCTTGTCTTCCCACTGCTGACCGAAGGCTGGGGGTGAGTCGGGCCCTTGTCCCCAGGGTAGGGGCTGGGTCTTTGTCCTGCTCTGTACCTTCCAAGGGCTGGATCCACAGGCTGGGGCAGCACAGGCCCAGGGTGGCCCTCCCTCTGACCATCTCTGTCCTGTGTGGGTCAGCTAGCAGAGGCAAGGGCAACCCTGCAGTCACCCAACTGCAGCAGGTGATGGCAGGAAGACGCTCTCTACTGAGCCACCTAAGGGGCCACTAGCCCTTCTTCCCTAATAAACAGCCCTTTGCCTCCTCCCAGACCCCTGTGCCTGCCCCAGTCCTGGTGGGCACTGACCTCTCACCTCCCCAGCCTCTCCACCTGGCATCCCGCGCCTTGGCCGGCACATTCCTCACCTCTCCACCCATGGGCCCCCGCACTCTCGTCCTGTGAGTCCACTGGGAAAATTGTTTCCGGCTGCTGCTGGGTTCCAGTGCAGACTTCCAGCATCGCAGCACGGAAGAGCGTTGGCCCCAACATGCCCCTGGATTCTCCCAAGAGGCGGCCACTCCCCGGGTGGCCGACTGCACACTGCAAGCTCTGTTTTCACAGTAAGGGCTTGTCCTTGCTCATGGGAATAAAGATCTCCCAAGGGCCAGGGCTCTCATTCCTACACCCTGACACATCTGCTGGTAACCACGGGAACTGCAGGTAACCCAGTCCTTGCCACTTCCTCCCAGGGCCAGGCTTCTAGCCAAAGTGGACCTTTGCAGCCAGCACAACCCAGGCCACCTCACACCCCTGCAGAAGAGGCACGGATAGGAGAGAAGCATCGGAGAGGCCAGCACCGCCCCTACTGCAGGTAGATGAGTGCGTCGGGGCGGGTGGCAGCACCAGAGGTCTCTGACATCCTTCCCTTGGCCAGCAGGACCCATGAGTCACCGCCCTGGTTAGTTGTGCACGGTGCTGGGAGCCAAGGGTCTTGCCAGAGTCCACCGCAGTGGCACCAAGGCGGCAGCCGTCCTCACAGCTGCCTCTTCCTCACCACGGGAATGGGCACAACTTGGAAGATTTTTGCCTTGTGCTCCTCAGTCTGCAGAGTCACCCAGGTGGGCTGGAAGCTGCCTTTGTAGCCAATGAATGCCAGTTTCTCTGGAAAGCAATGATGCGTCCTGTAAGCAAAACCCTAGGAGAGAATGGCTGCAGCCCACCCTCTGCAGGGCACACTCGACACTCTGTCCCCTAGGAGGGCTCTGGGTCCCGCCGGGGTGGTGCGTGGCGCTTGACTGGGGTGCACAGGCTCCTCAAGCCTCATGGCCAGCCCTGTGGTGGTCCTTTACATTGAGACAGAGGCTGAGAATGATTCCAGGACTGTCCTGGGAAGGAGGCTTCCCTTCTCTTTGGGCTGTCCTGTGCCTGCCTTGAAGGATGGTCAGTGTCCCGACCCCTCTGGTTGCTGTCTGGCATAACCACCATGTGATGGGCTTTACGTTCCCACGTGTTTCATACTTGGTGCAGAAGCTCAGAACCCTGGCTTTGGGTTAGGAAGGTTACGATCCAAATCCGAATGTTTAGCAAATGACTAGACTGTAATTGTGTGTCTTCATTTTTAAATGGAAATAGTAGCTCCTGTTGTGTGAGTTACTAGTGAGCAGTGCCTGACCTCTCTGTTCTGGCTGCCTTGTCCGGCACAGCCAAAGCATCTGGGTTCGTCTAGGTTTGGGTTCACCATAGAGAGCTACCTGCATACGCTGTGCGGATTTTCTGGGCTTTAACTTTCTCCCTCTCTGCCTGTCTCAGAAGATAAGAGCTTTGCCAACTGTGAAGACTGTATGAATGCTAGACACAGATGTCCAGCAGCTGGGATGTCGAGGAAGACAGAGGGCCCCCTCCAGTCTGCATATGGGCACTGGGCAGGGAGGGCAGACAAAGCCACTTTCCTGATGACTCTTGTGTTAGGTAAAGGGCCACTTGTTGAGCAGATGGGTCAATGATTCTAGCAATTTTGTTTTCATGTCTGGTCACAAGTTAGAACACACTTGCTGTACTATGTGGATGGAAACTAGGTGGCATCTTGCCCATCCCTGTACCTCACCAGGTGTGTCGGAGTCCGGGGCCACATCCATGTGTAGTGACAAAGACTGTTCTGGACTCCATGAAGGGTCACTGCAGTCTTCATGCCAGAGGGTGAGATCCCCTTTGGTCTGCGGTCATGGAACCCACCGTACTTCTTACCTTTCAGCCTGAGACCCCGTTCTGCCCCCAGCTTCTCCAGCACTCGGGTCCATGGGCCTCTGGTGACGTATCTTCCCTTCGACGCCATGACAACTATGGAGCTGGAGAGAAGGGGCCAGTCAGATGACTCAGATGGGGAGAAATGGGGCCAGGTACGTGGCAGGATGCTGGCTCGTACACAGGAGTGCGAGGGCCTGGCCAGGGACTCAGGAAAGGTCAGCCTCTCCTGCAGCTGAGCCGACAGGCTCTTTCCACGCGGTGACAACATCGTGAGCACCCTCCCACACATCTGGCCACCGTTGGGGCTCTGGCCTTTTCAAGCCTGGATGTGGTCACTGCTTTCACACATCTGTGCCCATGCGAGACAGAGCATGCGCACAGAGCACAGCACCTTGGGTGCGTGCCGGTACCTTCTCCGGACACGCGTTTCTTCATGTTGACACTGTCAGTGCTGTTTAGACAGAGCCAGCAGAGCCAGGGCAGTAGAGAAAGCCCAAACAGGTGGCAGGAGGTAGAAAGGGAACAAGAAGGAGGGAAAAGCAAGGAAAGAGGAGTCTTCTGTCAAACTGTAAAACCATCCAGAGCTCTCGATGGGACTGGAGTCCTGGTGACCTGATGTGTTGGCTAACCGCACAGGCGGCCCACAGCCGACCCTCCGAACGAGGTTCTGCATTTGAAGCAGATCTCCTCACACTAGCTTTCTCCCTGAACCTGTGTTTCTTTTGGAGCATTCTTTGGTCATGGGCTTTGTGATACCCAGAGCCGCCGCCTCTTTGCTGCAGGAAGAGGGTGACCTGGTTGACATCTTCCTGAGAAAAGCACTGTTATTACCCGCTAGGCTACAAACGGGGAGCCTGAGCAAACAGTTCCAACAACCCAAGAGGCCCAGCTGAAGGGGAGCTGTGCTTAGAAGGGCAGAAGTCATGCCCAGCCTAAAGGTCCCAGCTCAGGAACCAGGCAGCTCTGCTTCCTGCAGGGGGCTGTGTGGGCCCTGAGTGGTGGGAAAACAGTCATGCTGCTCCAGACGGGGAAGTGAGCACCTCCCTCTGAGACAGAAACCAAACGGGCCAAAGCTCACTGGGGCTTTCAGCTCCTATCCCAAAGGAAGTCTGTAACCACAGACCACAGTCCAGACAAGGAAAAACTGCACAGGCTCTGGAACCCCACACTACCCCAATCTGGGTCCCACTGGGAGTGGCAAAAGGGCTGCGGGAAGGCCAGGAGGCTGTGTGTGGGGAGGACAGGGTAGGGAGCACTGTAAGAGAGCCCAGAGACGGGCTTTGAGGCCTGCAGAGGAGAACGGCTCATCACGGATGCACCCTCAGCCTTGGGTTTGGGCCTGATCCTAGGAGGACATCCGGCAAGGCTAGACCTCCCTGCTGGGCAGACTCAGAGGAAGGCCCTGGCCTTGGGACAGACAGGGAGGCGGGGCTCCTTCTACCTTCCGGATGTCACCCAGAATCACTCTGCCTATCCTGCCAAGATCTCTGCCTGGTGCCATCATCAAGGCCTGGAAGCCCCACACCAGCCGATGCCAGCGCCGAGCAGCTGCCGTCTTCATTCCCTGAGCCTGTGATGGGTGGGCAGACTGGGCTAGCAGCCCTGGAGGGAAGGGCCTGTCCTTCTCCTTCCCTGGGTTTCCCAGGAGGTCAGAGAGGGGTCAGTGGGGCCCAGTTCCTGCCTGGATACCCAGTGCTGATCCAGGAGAGGCTTGTGCCGGCTGGGGCTCCCCTAGGGGGCACATGGCTGCCGCACCCAGCTCTAGACAGCACTCCTGTACTCCTGTCCCTGTGTCTGCATCCTGTTTCATGTGAGGAAAAAGTCTTCTGACCAAGACAGGCATGAAAGCAACTGCTGGTCCCTAGGTGATAAATGTTTCTTTTCCCCAGGTGGTAAAACTCGTCCTTCTGTATCAATGTGCACATGAAAAATCTAACACCAAAGCAGCAAGGTGGCGTCAGAGAGGCGCTAAGTGCAGTAGGAAAAACCCACTCTGCAGACTCTCCCAGCACCCTGCTCGCTGGGCCCACACAGATGGCACATAGAGAAGGTGTTTGTTTTCTCCCCTGAGTGCTCACTAAGCACTCACTGTGCGCCAGGCGCCACATTATGCAGGCAGACTTCCCACCAGGGGTGGCTCCTGCGTGACCTCTGTGCCCGTCTGCCGCGCCTAGGACTAGGCTGGAAGAACAGAGAGGAGAGAGACGGGTGCGGCATCCAGGCTTCTGCGTGGATGGGGCGGCAGTTGTTTGCCCACTCCTACTGGGAGTGCTGCTTTACAGAGAACTGGGAAGATGGAAGAGCCCCCACCAGGGAGGCGACAAGCCCGTCGGACTTGAAAGGTGGTGGGGAGCTAACAAAGGTGGCGGGGGGGGGGCACAAGCAAGCCTGACACTTGAGAAGCTCAGACTAAAGATGGGGAGACAGGAAGAGGGGGGCCACAAGGACACTCTGCCCAATGTTGGTGCCCAACAGGGAAGGCTGGGCAGGACAGAGAGGAGCTGGGCAGAGCGCACAGAGGGACTGACAGGGACTGTGTCAGGGTGTGAGGGAACGAGGGAGAGTCACACATGCAGCCCAGATTTTGATCCGGCTGCTGGATTAATGATGACAACTTCATCCAAACAGGCAAAGGGCAGGAGTGCCTGGTTTGGGGTGGAGGTAAGGAAGAGTGTCCCCATAGGAGACATCCAGGTGGCACCTCTGGGCAGCCTCTGGGTGGAGTGTCTGGGCTTAAGAGACCTGGCCTAGTGGCGCTCAGGAGCCAGCAGCTGTTGGATCATGTTGAAGGGGTGGGCATAGGTAAGGTCATGGCGGAGAGTGTGTAAGGTGGGCGGAGGGCCACGTGCCTTCCACTCATACAGGCAGCCCGTCCGCCTCAGACGGACCTGTGTTCCCAACAGCCTTGCTCCAAGATGAGCATCCAAGTCTGTGGACAGACTCTCCAAGTTCCCCAGACCAGGAAGCACAAGGGCCATGACGGCACGGAAGGAGGAGTGGTGCTTAGCCATGCCCCTGGCCGGTCCCACAAACAGAGGCCGGGACTCACTTGTCAGGGATGGCCGCCACGTAGCTGAAGATCTGCCAGGGGATGCCCTGCAGGAGGGAGCTCCTGAAGGTACCCTGGCTCACCACGTGCCCCTGGCGCCCGTCAATCACCACCACCTGGATGCCGTCTTCTGAGCTGGGATACCTCCTCCCATCCACCTGCAGGGTCCAAGCAGCATAGATGTGAGTTTCTCCTTCCATGCAGACCCTGAACATAGGTTGCCTATGCAGATGCTCAAAGTGTAAATGCCTTACTTCACTCCAGCCCTCTGGAGTGCGGCGAATAGCAACCCCCCAAAAGATATGTCCATTGCATCTATGGAAGTGACCTTATTTAAATAGTGACATTGCAGATGCACTGATTAAACACATCCATCTTTACTTCATGGAAAGATCTCAGGGTGAAATCATGCAGGACTTTTAGGGTGGGCTCTAAACTGATGACATTTACCCTTACAAAGAAAGGGAGAGGGAGATGTGAGGCTCGGACACACAGGAGGGGCCGCGTGGAGACGAGGCAGAGGTGGAGCCATGGAGCGTCAGGGGTCCCTGCAGCAGCTAGGAGCACAGCCTGACCTTCACATCAAACTCCCGGTTCCAGAACTGAAAGAGGAACTGGCCTCTGGTTTAAGCCCCGGCTGTGAGAACTTGTTACACTGACAGCCGTAGGAAAGCCGCCGCCCCAGGACTTTCTCATACCCACAGGCCACTGCTCACCTGGATGTAGGCGAGGTCACTCCGCAGGTGGAAGAAGTGCTGCCGGGAGCTCTCCACCTTCACCTCCAGGAATCGGTCCTTGGACTTCTGGAAAACACACAGCCAGATGGCATCAGGACGCAGCCATGGGGCCCAGCAGCGGTGCAGAGGGGCGCCCTCAGGTCTGGGCCACCAGTGCAAGGCATGTGGGCTGTCACTACTCACCAGTTGTGGCCCACGGAGCTTGAGGGGCATGGGCACATCCACCACAGCCCGCTCGGTGAACCTGGGGTAGGCGGCGGCCGTGCAGTCACTGACACCCGCGTGCTTCGGGATCAGAGCTTTAATCTTAATCCTCTCACAGCCTTTCACAGAGCAGAAGGCAAACCTCTCCCTCTCATTCTGGGCTTTGAGCTTCAGGAACAGAAGCCTGCAGGACAAGGTTGTGATGTTCACAGAGCGCCCCCCTACCCCATCAGATGATGGCCATGTGCTCATGCCTGGGTTGGACCTATGCTGGCCAGGGCATTGTTCAAATGCAGCTGGAGAAATGAAAAGCACACACACTGAAGAAGAAGCTGATATGGATGGGCATTTTAGGCTATTCTGCCATGTGTCCGGTGAGAGCTGCCTATAACCTTGCTTCATCCTCAGGCCTGCCCAGGAGTAAGTGTCAGCCCAATTTGGGTTGGGGAAGTGGCAGGGACAGAAGGGATGAGGCTTTCCTAGCACCACACAGCTAGGAGTGGGCAAGTCGGAACTCCCATCCCTCCACTGTGCCTGGAGAGCAAAGTGCTCATCTTCCTAACTCTGGTTTTCACCAAACCATCATTCATTCTAAAAATTATATGAGAATTTATTTAAAGTAATCATTACTGTGAAGTAGTTCGGCCCTGTGTTACAAGAAGTCAAGTTATGAAGAAACCACAGTACTAACTCGGGATTCATTATTGTATCCCTAAGCTCAGAACACTCTTGGGCAGGTCCCCCACCTGTGCAGCAAAAGATGTGGTCTTGGGGTCTTGCATACTCCAACTCTGGGAGCTGAGCCTCATGGAGCCCACTTAGCCCTGGGATCTGGGCTGTGCCATGATGCATGACCCCTGCCCAGGGCTCAGCTAACCAGACCAGGACACACAGTGGACTCACAGAGGGGCTGCTTACTGGGTAGCCAATGCCCAAGAGGGGGCTCCTCTCATGGAGCTTAAATGGAAAGACCCTGTAAACTACAATGGCACCCCCTTTCTGTGCCTGCCCCTCCTGGGGTCTCCAGAAAAGGCAGTGGCTCTGAGTAAGAAGCTGTTATGGCTTGTATCTAGGTGTTCCCCAAAAGCCTGTTGTGCTCACAAGTGGGGGTTTTCAGAGGAGGCTGGATCCAGGGTGTTCGAATATGGATTAAGGGTATAATAACTAAGTTAGTCCACTGATTGGCTTAGCATAGTTCTGAGTGTGGATAATAGGAAACCTCAACCTGGGTATGGGCAGCACCACCCAAAATGTTTGTAGCTTGGATGAGATAAAAGGGAAAGGGAGGCTTGCTTTGCTGCTTTGCTGTCTTCTGCCTGCCCTGCCATGGACTGTTTCTACTCTGCGATGCTCTTCTGCCAGGCCACCGTGCCTTGAAGTCAGTTGAATATGGACTGAAACCTCTACAACTGGGTTTTGGGAGGTAATGTACCATGGAAAATTTTGTTTTGTTTTGTCTTGTGCTTGGGATGGAATCCAGAGCCTCACACATACTAGGCAAGTGTTGTATCACTGAGCTACACCCCCAGTTCTGTTGTATTTTTAACATTTTGATTTATTGCTTTCACTTTTTTCTGAAATAAGTGTATTCCCTACAATCCATATGTTTATTTAATAGTGTTTGTGTTCCCCCCGTCAGGCTTACTGGCTTTAAAAATGTCACCAGTACATGGTGCCATCAGTGTTAGGATCAAAGCACCTGGGGCAGTTTCCCACACTACTTGGCATCATTTACCGGTTGTTTTAGGGTTGTGGGAAAGGATACAGGGCAGAGTGAAGCTGAGTCCTCTTTTCAGTGGCGGGAGCCTCCTTACCCTGACTCCTCGTCCCAGTAGTAGTGGCTCCTGCCAGGATAGCTCTGTTCTAACTTCTCCATCTGCAGGGTCCTCACAAAGGTGCCTGTCTTGGATGTCTGCTTAAGCAGACGATTGTGGACATCTGAGAGGATGGAGAAGGTGGTGCCTCGTGGGTAGCAGAGCCCCACTCGGATCCAGTCACCCCTAGGACCAGAAGTAGGGTTAGTTGCTGGCAAGGATGACTGGTGAACACTTGGAGAGAGAGACCCAAGAATTCCTGCACAGGGAACTTTGAAAGAACACTTGCTCTAGGTACTGATGGAGTCACAAAGTATCCCACGAGAGAGCTAGGAGCAAGGCAGATGGGCTGACTGGGATCCAGGGCTGCACTGGGATGCTAGGCAGCAGGGAAAGGTGTCTTTCAATGGCCCTGGGGCTAAAGTGCACAGTGGGAAAGGACTCAGGTTCTCATTTTCTGCGTCCAATAAATGTCTGTTTCACGGGATGCTGTGATAAGTCAGCAATGCACACAGAAGACACTGAACAAAAACGTGAATCCCTACCCACATGGCCCCAGCCTCATCACTCTCCCTCACAGAGCCTCAGTTCCCTCTGTAAAATGACAATGACACCCATAATTGTCATCTCTCAAGCACTTGGTAATGCTACGTACTAGGGAAAACACCTGTCGCACATTCATCATCTTTTTCCATCTTCTGCTTACTCCTTAGCTGTCACACTCACCCCATCTGCAGTGGGGAGGTCAGTCAGATACAGAGTGGGGTCAGACTGTATCCTTTGAGTCTTAGCTCCTAGATGATGTAAACCCTGGGTGGCAGTACTGCGGGGAGTGGGCTAGCCTCATCACCACTGTACGGATCAGCAGGCTAGCCTCGTCACCACTCTGAGCTCAGCCAGGCAGCTGTCCCCAGCTGTGCTGATCCTGGCCATACCTACTCACTTGTTGAAGTTGATGAGCCAGATGGCGAGTTCTGCTGGAGCCACCTGGTCCCAGTGGATGGTGTAGCCCTTGTGCAGGGTGATGACAGGCTGGTACTGCTGGTAATGGGTGCTCCTGGTGAGGGCGCCCTCCAGGTATAGCGGGTGGGTGGGGAAGTCATTCTTAATGATCTTCATCCGCAAGTTACTGGTCTTGTAGGCCTGAATGTACATCTTTTAAAGCCCAAAAAGAAAACACAGGAGGCTGTTACCAGAGATTGCTGCAAGGGTGTCTGGTGAGTGTCTGGCTGCAGACGCAGTTTCAAAGACAGAACCCTTTTTAGAAGATTTGAATGGAATATAGGCCAAATAAGGGGATGCCTCTTTCTGCTGGTGGACACAGCCCAAGCCATACTGTACAATCCAGCTAAAGCTTTCTCTGCATTTTCAAACAAGTGGTCTATGAAGGAGCTACCAGAGCAAACTTGTAAGGAGTTACTTAACCATCAGAGGTGACTTTTGGAAAAAGAAGGGGCTTGTGGAAGGGACAGAGACCTTTTTCTACTGCAGATGCTGCTCGTGGTTAGCTGGCTGTGGTTCCGTCTGCATCTGTGAGTGGACCTGGTTGCTGCCTCCTCCCCTCTGGCTGTCAGAGTCTGGTCCCTGTGGCCAGTGCATGGGGGTGGCAGGACACTGGATGAGGGCTCATGTCTCTCAGAGAAAAAACTGAAAGCAAGACCATAGCCCATGAATCTGGGTATGAAAGTGCCAGCCTCGGGTTAGAGCACCATCCTATTTTATGGCACATACCGTATGTGTAAGGTGACATCCTATAGCTGAGGCTAAGAGAGACCAGCACATTGTGCCTTTGGAAGGAGAGACTATCTTCCCATGCTAGTGTAACCACGTATTTGATGGAAAGACAGTGAACACCAACACCACCCTCTCCCCTGTGGATGTCAAGGGTAAAAGGTTTATCAAGCCTTTTGTAAGCTACAAAGTGAAGGGAGGAGATAATTAATAATAATCAACCAGTAGCCAGTTATGTTAACCTGGCGAGCTCTAACAGCCCTTTTCTGCAGAAGATGAGCAGCGTATCAGACCAAAGTGGGAGGAGCTCAGGGCTCTGTGTGCGACACCTCATGTGTGCCCAGTGTAGGTGCACACAAGTGGGCTTGGTTGTCCGTCAGGTGTTCAGGGCACCACACCCATCCTTTAACTCTGCCTCGGCCTCCCAGCTTATCTGCTCAGATCACTCCTATCAGCCACTCTTTCCTGGCACATCTTGGCCCTGCCTTGTCCACACACGCAGCAGATCCCTTGCCCGGGTCCTCCCACAGGACTGCTGAGTGGGACAAGAAGATGCCCAGCTCAGGAGCCCAGTCTCGGCTGGATCCTCAGCACCTTGGTCCTTCCCTGTGCGCTGCAGCAGCTCTCTCTGCAGCACCCTTCCCGCCCTGCCCAGGCCCACCTGAACGCTCTGCACCTCCTGCTGAGAGAACCCCCTTTTCCCCTGTGCCCACCCCCTGCCAATGCAGGCTCCTCCCACCCTGTCCTCTCTGCCCCTGGCCCTTTTCCTCTGCCTGGCACCCACTCCCTCTCCCATCTCTCTTCCACAACACCCAGGCCTTCACACCACAGTGGGATAAACATACCTGCCTTACGAGACAGCGTCAACGTTAGACTGAAAATCCTGCGCTTTTGCTTTTGCAGGTCTAGGGATGGCACCCAGGGGCTCCCACAAACCAGGCAAGTGCTCTACTACTGAGCTGCAGCCCCAGCTCTTCCCCTTTTACATTTTTTTAAAATTTCAAAACAGGCTGGGCCGGGCTGGCCTGAACTTGCCATCCTCCTGTCTCAGCTTCCCGAGTAGCTGAGATTGCAGGTGCGCACACAGGATCTACGCTGACAACTGTTTGTTTTCCAGGCCTCTCTCCCTTACACCCTCGTCATTATTCAAACAACAGTGCTGGCCACAGCACAGCAATGCTGACCAACGTGGGCATGTTCCGGCCACACTGTCCCAGACAGTGGCCACACTGACCTATACAGTGGCCTCTGGAAATTAGGCCAGTGTTGCTCAGGGCCCTCATTTTAAATTTTATTCTAATCAATTTAAATTTCAAAACACAAGCAGTATGAAACATGTTTTCCAGTAAGCACCACCTGCTCATTAGGGTAGCACCACATTTCAGTTTGTTGCCGGTTAACATTCCAAATGGGCGGGCCATACATACAAAATGCATGCTGGGTTTTGAAGTCTTACAAGTGAAAAGAGATGTACAATGTCTCACTAATAATTTTATATGGATTACATGTTGGGTATATATGTTGCCAAACCATCCACAGACCACACCGAGATGACAGTATTTTGAGTACACTTAGCTAAATAAAATACCATTAAACTTGATTTTCCCATTTCTTTTTACTTTTCTAACACAGACACTAGAAAATTTAGGATCACATGTGTGGCTTGCATTATATTTTGACAGCATGGAGCTGAGGAAGCATTTTATTTGCATCATTATTTGATACTACCCCTATAATCTCACCAGCATCAGGCTGACTTTATAGACAAGGAAGCGGAGGCTCCAAGTATTTTCCCAAGGTCATGGGGTTGTTATTTTTATTTATTTATTTACTTATTTACTTAAGGTTTTTTCGGGGGGCAGAAGATAGCCTTAAATTTGATTTTGTGAAAATCCTATTGGGTAAGGGGGGAAAAAGAAGAAAGAAAAAGAAAAAGAATTCTGCTTCCCTTTGTGGCCCAGCGCAGAGCTTGGGTGCAGTAGGCGCTCACTGAGCACGCAGGTGTGAGTGACTTCGTGACCACCTGGCTCCTCACCTGTGCGTAGTGCCCACTGCAGATGGCTCCTCTCCAGTCAGGGACGTCAATGCAGTCCGGGTGGCGCACCAGCCAGTTGTCCTCCTTGGTGAGGTAGGAGCCGGGGTACTCAGACACAGAGCCATCCACATCATGGAAGACGGACGTCTTGTCCCCGTCCATGTCCAGCTGGTTGAACCAGGGCCCAGGCTCTCCGAAAAACACTCTGGAAGTGATCTGAACAGAGCCCAGGAAAGTCAGGCCGGGCTGGAGACCAAGGAAACCGAGCCATCATGGGGCCAAGGTGAAGTTTCCGATTTCCGATTTCCACTGACATTAGGAGGCAGCCAAACCAAAGAGCTCTTAGGCACCGCAGGAAACCACTAGCTGACCTCACAGGCAGGCCAGGAAAACAAGTCAAAGGTTCAACTCCTAGCCCGGCAGGCAGTTTTAGCTCTGCTTACTGCAGGGCAGGTGCTAGGGGGGCCTCAAGGACCACACTGAAGCCCAGGCTTGGGAAGGAGTAGGAGTGGGATGACATGGGAGGGCATGGGGGTGAAGGAAGAGAAAGTGTGGTTAGATGGCATGTGTGTGCAATGTGCATGCAAGAGCAAGTGAGTGTGTGTGTGTGCATGTGTGCAAGAGCACGTGTGGGAGGTGTCAGGCAGTCTTGCAGCACAAGCTCTGGGAGAATGTCATGGCTGACCTCCTTTAAGCTCAGGGTGACCCAAGTGAAGACACGAGTAACTCAGGTAGTGCATCTTTTCCCTCAGCAGCCAGTGAGCAGGGTCAGGCAGGAGCAAGAGCAGGAGGAGGAAGTAGGGGAAGGGCCTGGAAACCCACAGCCCAGAGAGACTGTGCCAGCAGTCTGCATGGCTGGGTGCATGGGCAGGCGTGGAGGTCTCCTAGCCCCGGGATCCTCTGCCCTGGCTCCACCCTCGGCAGGAGGCCCCTGTTTACACTCTGCTCTCAGGCTGAGATCAACCAGACACCTCTGGCAGAGACCTCCCTCGGAAGCTGCTGGTGTGTCGGATGATCTGTGCCAACTCAGGTGGCCCAGGCATGAGATGCTGCATGGAGAAGCCTTGGAGGGACAGCTCCAGGCAAAGTCTTCCCTGAGGCTCCCTCTCACCCTGCCTTGACCCGTGGCCACCTGGGCCTGTACTTTTCCAGCTTGTAGACAGAGCAAGGAGCCATGGCCCAGCCTCCTTAAAAGAGGCCATTTACCCCTTGTAGGGTGGCACCAGCCCAACCTCTGCTCTGGGGGGCCTGTGAGTCACCACCTGGTCTGTTACTCAGGAACCCTGGCACCTCACGCACCGGGACGTCCTCGAAGGTGACAGCAGTCACGTTGTTGTGTGGGCAGCTCTGCCATGCGTTGTTCAGGCGGAAGGCCAGGGCACTGGTGTGCCGGCCCTCCAGGGCCACGAACTTCCGGAAGGTGCAATTCTGGATGTTGATGGGGCCATCATAGAACTGGATTCCTCTGATTGGAAAATTCCTGTGGAGTGAAGAGAGCTGGATGTCAGTCTGAACAGCATGTCATTTCCTTGTCTGAGCTGGATGTTAAGAGAGACTTTGGGTAAAGCCATCCCTGATCTTGACCTTCAGTAACTCCTCCATTCTAAATCATTAGTGAATCATTAATTAATTCACTGAGAAAGCATGTGCAGAAACAATAAATATCAGTGAATGATTGCTGCATAAATGAATGACTGAATGATGGGTGGACGGATGGGTGGATGGATGGATGAATGTATGAGTGTGTGCATGGATGGGTGAATGGATGGATGAACAGATGGATGGATGAGTGGGTACATTATGGGTGGGTGGATGGATGGGTGGATGGGTGCATAATGGGTGGGTTAATGGATGAATGGGTGGGGGAGTGCACAATGGGTGGGTAGATGAATGGATAGGGTTGGATAGATGGATGGGTATGTGGATAGATGGATGCATAGGTGGATGGACATTTGAGTGGGTGAGTAGATGAATAGATGGATGGATGGAAGGCAGACAAATACCAGTCTAGTTACTAGCTTGAGGCTTAGTTAAGGTCTTCCATTTAAACATCCATCCCCCTAATTTCCCCATCATATAAGTCATTAGTAAATACTGTAAATGCTACTAGAGAGTGCCAATATTATGTCTCTTGGGAGGGCAGCACTGTTAGTCATTACCGCCTTAGTTTTAGTTGCTATAACAATTAAATCAGATTGAGACCCAGATGAGTTTTTCTTCGTGAGTAAGCCTTCCAGCTGGCAATGTGTGGGGTTTGGGAAATAGAGAGGAAGACACAGAATGGAGGGTGGTAAATGTGACTGCTGCATGGCTTTCTGAGCAACCCCAAGGGGAAAGTAGGCCCTGCTAGGAATCCAGGACTGGAGTGGCAGAGGTGCCACACGGCCTGGCACTGGATAGCAGGAAGGAGAGGTAGGAAGGGCTGCAGGCTGGTGACATGGAGACCCTAACCCGCCTGAAGGTTGCACCGCATGGGTCTCAGACTCCCAAGCCAGTCCTGGTGAACCGAGGCCCAGGAGGGAGTGGCTGGGCTTCCTGTTGGCTTCTCTTGGGCCTGGCCGTAGATCTTGACTTGGACATCTCCAGGCCCAGCATGAGCACTTTTGCTGGCTGTCTTGACACTGGGGCAGGCCCGACCCTTCCACAGGGAGTGCACAGAAGAGAGGACGGGAGGAAGGAAAACAGAGCAGAAGAGGGATTGTCCCTGGGGAAGAGCTGGGCCTTGTTGTCCTAATCTTGCTTTCAGGCTCCCCTCCCTTCCAGTCCCCTTGTTATGATTTGTGTCTACATATCCCCCCAAAGCTTCATGCTGTCATGGGGTCAAACTTCTAGAGTTTGTGATTGATTCATGGTCCAATGCTGGAATTATGGGTGAGTGGTACAACTGCCCTGGGGCGGGTAGCCTGCAAACAATATCAGGGAGGGAAAGAGGCTTGCTCTCTCTCTCTCCTCCCTTTTTTGCTTTTTTTTTTTTTTTTTTTTCTTTCTGGTACTGGGAATCGAACCCATGACCTTGAGCTTGCCAGGCAGGCACTGTGTGGATTTACTGCTGAGCTAAATCTCCAGCCCCCCCTTTTTTGCTCTTGCTGCTTTTCCTGTCTTCCGCCACCATGAACTATTGACCCTGTGCCATGCCACCCTGCCTTGGAGCCAGCTGAGCATGGACTGAAACCTCCACAAACTGTGAGCTAAAGAAACCTTTCCTCCCTTAACTTTGAGTGTCAGGTATTTTGTCTCAGTAAGGGAAAAGTACCTAAGATGCCCCTCACACTAGTCCTTCAGGGGAAAACAAAGATTCCCTGCACTTCCATATTTTTGTAACCAATTAATATTGTCACCTGGAATCCTGGTTCGTACAGGATTGATGTGATTTCTCCACTAAGTATTTTGGGACCAGCCTATTCTGCTAACACATGGTTCAGCCCTGTGCTTCTTCACCTTCAGACCTAACCCAGTTCTGCTTGGGATGAACCAGCCACAGTGGGCACCATCCTGGGCACATGTGTACCCTGCAAGCCATTAGAACATGTGGCCCCAGGAGGCAGGAGCCCTCTGCAGGGAAACACTTAGTACCAGACAGAGTCAGCGTGAAGACACTGGAAGGGTTCTCGCATCCTGTGAGCTGCACAGTGGCAGGGTTTCACAGCTCACGCCACAGGAGACCAGGATTCTGCCTTTAGAAGATCATTCTGGGGCCATAGGTGCACTCAGGTTGGGAGTTTTAGGTCTGTGGACTTTGTGTCCTGACTCTAGCAACAGGAGTTATACTTCCAGGGAGGAAGGAAAGAAACCACAGGGGTGAGAGAAGGGCTGATCCTGTCGCTCGGAGAGCAGGATGGCTGTGGAAGGAGGTGCTGCCCCAGGCTGTGCTGTCCCAAGACAACACCCACCAGCTCTGCATCCAGCCACCTGCCACTCCCCCGAGCAACTCCCCACAGCCTGCAACTCCAAGGAAGCCCTGCTACTGAGGCGTTGTGCACGTCTTGGCTAAACCAGTTCTGCCTCCAGGGCCTGCATCTCTCTCCTACGCTTGGCAGACCTAGGCCGTTGTCTTCCCCAGGGTGATCTCTCTCCTGAGTGACAATGGATCCCCATCTACAGGAGACACCACAGCCTCCAGGCTGGCCACATCGGTTACTCTCCTGTACGCAATGCTCATGCTGCCATCCAGGAGGGGAGCAAGGGACAGGGATTCAAGGTCCCTCGTCTGCACACTGTATTCCCATCCCAGCTCATCTTCAACACTGTTTTTTTTTTTTTTTTTTCACTTCACTTCCCGCTTCCAGAGTCTGTCCCTCAACCATCAGCCTTAGTCATTTCAGTGACTCCTCTGGCTACAGGGACAGAAGCATTTCCAGCCCCAGACAGAAATCACCACCTAACTTCTCCTGCAGCCCTGCCAAGAACCCACTGCCACCCAGCTGTGGCCCAGCTGCAAACCTACTGGCCTATGGGGAGGGTCCTTCCGCTGTGGTCCAGGCCCCCCGGGCCCCAGATCCTGTTGTCCATCATTTCTGTACCCACGTTGCCGCTCTCGCCCACAAACAAGCTGTTCTTGATTTCTTGCTTGGAGCCTTCGTCATAGGGGAAGGTCCCACCACTGTGGAGAGAAGGTGCTGGCAGCAGTAGCCCAGGACAGGGTCCTCCACACAGTGCCCAGGGTACCTGCAGACAGATGCTATGCACGAGGACCCTGCTCTTACCTGGCCAAGGTCAGGCCAATACCGTTGTCGGCAAACCTGGGGACAAGAGCAGATGGTCAGTGTGCTGTCAGTCCTGTCCAGTGGGGGATGCGCCCAGTCTTCCAGGGGAGCAGGAGAGGGCTTTGCAGAGGTGTTACAAGTCTGCCTGCCAAACAGCAGTGGCGAAATCTGGGTCCCTCCCAGTCTGTCTCTGACTCCAGAAACATGGGTGACCCCATGGCTGTAGGGTTTGCTGGCACCTGTGTTATCCTCCTGCAGGCTACGGGAAGCCCCGTTGAGCCCACCATGGTCTGTGACCCAGGGCTGAAAGCAGATTGGGGAACTGGGCCAGCTCTGGGTGGGGAAGGCTCTGTGGCTGCAGTTCATTCCCTTTGCGTCCTCATGACTATTTCAGAGAGACACAAACATCTCGCTTCCAGACTTTAGGGAAATCAGGCAGATGCCGCTGGGGGCATGGGAGGAGCCTGCAGTTGCCCTATGGTTGTCTGCTTTCTTTGGATGCTACCCTTCTTGCAGCACCAGGACCTCAGGGTCTGCAGGGAGCTAAGTTCCCAGGGATGAGGCAGTGCAGAGTCAGAGCTGAGCCTCCAATCAGCACCAGTTCTTTGTCCTCCATCCCAGCCAGGTGTAATGGGTCTCTGCTCTCCCACCTGCCCCACACATATCCTTCCACTCCTCTCCCACACCACACTGCTTCCTAAATCTCCAGGGCTTCAGGCTACCCTGAAATCCATGCCCAGCCTTCAGACTGGCCCTGTGCTATAGTGCTTCCTTTGCTCTGCCCCCAGCCCAGCTGGGAGCCAGGCAGGACCCCCTGTTACTTTTCCCCGCCTCACAGACCCTGGTGCAGATCAGTTCCTCCAGGCTGTGTTCCTGGGCACACTGCTCTCCAGCCTTCTTCCAAAGCTTCTTGATTTTGTCCCAGGCCTTTGCCCCAGCTCCCAGCACCCTCTCATGCTACTCCCCATTCCCAGGGACCCATGGGCTCCCTCCCCGGGCTGCTATGACTCTGACACCAGTCACTCTTCCTGCTTCTTCCGAAGTCTGGGCGTCTTCACAGAGTATTTCATAAGCATCTCAAATGCAACACATCTAAAACAGTACGACAGTTTTCCACGCAGCCTGCTCCTGATGTGAAGGCTCAGTTCCAGCCAAGCTCGAGTTACCCACGGTTCTCTCTCACCGGAAGGGGCTGTTGCAGTAGCACTGCAGCTGGTGTCCCAACCTTCACCCACATCCTGAAATAGCCATAATGGCCAAATGCCCAGGGTCCCTGAAAGGACCCCTGGTTTCCTTTGGTCCCTGACCAGGCAAGCTGTCAGCTGAGGGACTGGGGCTTGGGCTAGCTGGATTCTGAGATCCTTGGAATGAGTCTGGGAGGATGTTAGAAGATGCACCCCGATGGCGGAGGCTGCATAGCTCTTGCTGCCCCATGTCTGGCATTTACTGTCTCTGCAGGGACCGAATGTCAAAATGCTTATGAGAGCAGAACCGAGAAATCTGTTGCACTTAGAACAGGGCCAAGGATCTCCTCCCGGACCCGCCTGGCTTCTTCCCTCAGGCTTCCACCCCTGATTTCCTCTCACTCTCTGGAGCCCCTGGGGCTCTGTGCTGGGGATGACCCGGAACTAGGGTGGGAAGATCTTCCCTGCTGCACTGCAGTCTGCCATGGCGGCCTCCTCTGCCCTCTAAAGCCAGTGGAGCAAGAGCCCACTTCCCAACAGGGCCCTCAGAACCCCAAACTGGCTCCCTTCCGCACCGCTGCCTCCTCTAAACCAGTGGCCTCTTCTCCTGCATAACACAAAGGCCCCTCTGGTGCCTTCAGTGACGTCCCTTTGCATCCCATGGCTTCTCCCATGGTCCAGCTTTGGCCCGGATCAGCCTCTCCGCAGCCCTGTTCCTCTCAGGAGCCTCCTCCTCTTGCCCCCTCTGTGGCTCTGTCTCCCTCCTCACACACCTCTGCACCCTTGCACGTTTATTTCCCCTTTAACTTCACAATAACATGGCCATTCATCTTCTCTCCAGGGTCTGGATACAGGAAGGCGGGCAAGGACAGCCCTTCTCAACACTCCCTCAAGACAGCCCCGCCCAGCCACTCTCCTGCTGGTCCCTGTCCAGTGGGGCCAAGGGCTCTGCTCAGGGACCTTAGGTGAGATGAGTCCGGGGCTGGAGTGTTGAGTCCTAGATCGACCACTTCCTGTTCATGTGGCCTTGAGAAATTCACTACACAGAGCCTCAGTTTACAGCCCTGATTTGGAGGCAGCAACTGGCAGCTGTGAGAAACATGCTCAGAAAGAAAAGCAGCCCAGGCTCTGGTGTAGAGAGGCGCTTGGAAACCCTGACTTCCTCTCCCTCCCTTCACTGCCTGGCCTGGTGGCCTTGGGACAGAGATGCCCAGTGAAGCCACTGAACTGCCTGCCCTCAGGGTTTGCTGTGGACCCTTCTGGCCGCTGCTTGTTGCCCTTCCGGTCACTGCCCAGCCCGGAGGAAACAAGGACACATGACACTGTGTCTCACCCTCTGCCTGGCCATGCCACATGCTGTCCAACTCACCGACAGCTGTCCAGCCACACGTCCCCCCCACGCAGCCAGGCCCCGTGGTCCTGGTTCTTGTAGGCCGTGAAGTGCTTGATGATGGCAGGCTCCCTGGGCTTGAGCGGGTCGGCGTCCTGGTGTGGGCTGTACCTGGAACACAGGTGCGGGGCACTGGAGGGCTTTGGTTCCAATGCCCTCCAGTGCCAGGAGCCCAGCAGCACTGATGAACAGAAATGATCCCCCAGCCAGGTTCTGAGACCTCTCTGAGCTCATCACAGAGGCGGGCCCAGCCCCGCACAGCCACAAACACATTGCTTTTCTCGTCCATCAGCACCACTGGAGAGCCCTCCCCTGAGTGCAGTCAAGTCCCAGAGGAGAGTTCGGATAGCCAGGCCCAGCCAGGAGTGACACCATCTGCAGGGCTGGCAAAGGAAGTCAAGACACCCAGCTCCCAGGGATGGCCAGCAACCGAGACAGCTGCCTTTCCCAGGCGCTTTGTAGCTATAAAATGGAATTCTGACGCTCACTAGTGTCTGGTCTAGACAAACTGGACACGAGCGTGTTGCTAGTGTTACTCACTTCTGATGGAGACCAAGCCATGAGACTTTCAAGGGTGCTGCTTTTGCTAATGACCTTGAGATTTGACAGCAGCCCCGGTCTCCCACTGAGCTCCAGGATGGTTTGCAGGTGTGGCCTGTGTGCCCTTCTCATTGCATTTACAGTGAGTCCTCTCTCCTCACCTTTGTCTGCAGCCTGCCCTACAGTGGCGCTGGCTGTCCTGCTGACTTACCAGGTATCACTTGGCGGGCGACCCAGAAGCCTTGGGAATTTCTGTCTCCCTTTGGCCACCCGAACCCTCATTCAGACTCTGCCCTGCTCAGACCTGCACTTCAGCACGCCCACAACTACCTGGAGGCCCAGCCCATAGAAGGGGCTCACTGGTGGCCAGCGTGGTGAAGGGTACAGGGCAGAGGGAGCTGGGCTGGGCGGGGGGCTCCATGGGGCGTGGCTTTCTGAGTGGCTTACCTGGCTGAGATTATGGAGAGAAACGGCCGCTTGTCCTTGGCAGAGGCCTCAGTGGTTTTGACCCCGTTGTCTATGATCATGCCAGCCTGGGGACAGGAGACATCAGGGACATGTTATCTGCCACTGCAGGCCGCAGACATCGCCTCATGCCCAGCTTTGCTCTTGAACATGCAGCCAAACCAGCTGTGCTGTGAGACTGCATGAATGGAGCAGAAGCTCTACAGCGAGGGAGGGGACAGCCTGCCACATTCTGCTCCTTCAGACCGAGTCTGATCGAAGTCTCTGTAGGCAGGGAAATTGAGACCTAGAGAAGACAACTATCCTGTCAGTGAAGTCCACACACAGGACCCACTCTGCTCCAGACAGCTGTTATCCCAGGCCCCAGAGCAAGGACACAGCTGTGCGCCCCTGGAACCTTGTCCATGGAGATGCTGAACTTCAGCCACACTGTATCCACCTGGGGCTGCTGTCTCCTGCTCCTCTTGATTCCTGCTTGACGCGAGCAGAGGACTTGGCTTTATCCAACTCCAGAGGCATCTCCCTTGTCCTCTACTGGTGTTGCTGTCTGCCACCCACACCATCTTCCTTACTTCCTAGGCCTCTGGGCCTCTCATGATCGCCCACATGCAAGCATCTCTCTTTAGGTGCCTGGCAGACCCTGGCTTGTACATCCCTCGCTGGCTTATGATTCATCATTGGACCCACGGGCTTAGAGCCCCAGCTCTGCTCTCACAACTATGACCTTGGCCAAGGCCCCTCTCCTCTTCAGCCTCAGCTGCATCACCTGCAGAAGGGGCTGATTGTGATGGAGACTACTATGAAGCAGCTCTGAGCAGGATTTAATTTTAACCAACTGGCTTTTCACATTTACATGTGCGTTTGCCTGAGGCCTAGGCCCTGGTCCAGAGATGGGCAATGGACTCATAGTAAGTGAACCTCTATGAGTCACTGGTCCCCACTGAGGCCTGTATGGGATGCCTCAAAGGACAAGATACAGAAATCTCTCATGGAGGTCAGTGGGGGCCCCCTGATTTCTCCCAGATCCACACACTGGGAACACAACTCTGACCACCTGTGCCAAGTGTGCAGCGGCCTGGAGGCCCAGCAGCAAGACTTACCCGGTAGTTGGAGTGAGCGCGGTTGTTGAGGAATCTGCCGAGTGGAATGTGCTCCGAGTACCCCGGGGAATACATCCCCACAGAGGGGCCTGTCGGCACATGGTGGAAAATGAACCAGAACCCTGTTTCCTGCGGGAGAGACAAGAAGGAAGCCATCAGACATGGCACCATGAGCTTCAGGCAGGTGACTGAGGGGAAGCGCTGGGGACATGGGTCTGTGGCCTCCGTGGCTCCCTGTTCAGGCAAGAGCTGCGAAGAGGGCTGAATGATTCGTGGCACGGGGTCCACCCTTCCCATCAGAGCCTTTCAGGGTCCTTCTCTGTCAGCCACTGTGCTGACTGCCAGGCCTCAGTCACTGCAGGGTGACAGTCCCCTCCTGGGGGCCCCAGGCCTCCAGCCTCTGCCTCAGTTTCCCTATCTGACAGGGATGCTAACAGCACTCAGCCTATGGCCCTGATGACATTCGCCTACAACACTAAGGTGCCAGGCACTGTTCCGAGGGGAAGCACCTTCCTTCTCACCATGAGGTGTCACAAAGTGCTGAGCACTCGCCCTCCGGGGCCACCCAGTGACGGCACTGCCCCTGAGATCAAGTCCGGGACCCCCACCCCAGCCGTGCCCCCTGCCACCTGGCCGCGCCTCACCTCCGACCCTGCCGCGGAGCAGTTGATCAGGTTGTTGTTGGGGTTGGCCATCCAGAAGGTGGACACTGCGCTGTGGGGAGGGGACAGAGTCACAAAGGCCGCCAGCACTCACCCTGCCACCTGGTGGATCCGGAGAAAGCCCACTGCCGCACCCATCTGAAAGCCGGGCTCTCCAGAAGGGTCCACTGAGGCATGCCGTGTGCCGCAGTGGAAAAGGCAGAGGTGGCAGAGTCTAAGTCCCTCCCAGGCATCTGCCTCCTTCGCCGCTGCCTGCTGGGAGAAGCTGGCGTGCACAGTGCTTCCCAGGCAGAGTCCTGTGACTCTCTGCGCAGAATGGAGGCTCAGCGAGGGAGGGAAGGGAGAGGGGCTGAGAGCAGAAGCTCCTCCCACCTGCCGGGCCGCTGGCTGCCCTGCCCTGGGGCACTCACTTGCAGTCCTGCCTGGGCTTGGGTACGTAGCCCGGGTAGGAGTCTTCCGTGATCATCTTGCACATTTTGCTGTCACGGTCGGAGGGCAAGAGGGTTCCAGACTTGACGAGGAGGCCGAGGCAGTGGTCAAAGGTGTTGCGTTCCTCAGGGCCATCCTCCGTGAAGAAGCAGTGGCCCAGAGAGTTATAGCCCACGACGTCCTGGATCTGCAGGGGCCGACACAGCCAGTTCACTCAGCGGCCATCACTTGTGTGCTCACACAGTCACTCCGCAAACATGAAAGGTATCAGCCCGGTGCCAGGTGCTGTGAGGAGCGCTGGGGGTTTGGAAGCAAGCCTGACACAAGGGTAGGGCTGGAGAGGGCAGGGCCAGGGATAGAAAGGGGACTCTTTAAAGTTCCTGGAGGTGCTGCAGCTGAGGCTCTGTGGGGTGGCCTGGGATGAGGCCCTGTGCATCTACCCTGCTAAGGACACAGTTAACAGGGACTGGAGGCACCAAGAGGTGTGGTGAGAGCTTTGCTCAGGGGGCGGGGGCAGCCCACATGCAGCCGAGGACCCTGCAGTGCACATCCAGTGGCCCCTGCGGCACCAGCTCTCCACTTGTCTTTTTTGGTTTTTGTTTTGTTTTGTTTTGTTTTTTCCGGTACCAGGAATCGAACTCACAACCTTGCCCTTGCAAGGCAGGCGATGTGCCGTTGAGCTAAATCCCCAGTCCCTCTCCACTTGTCTTCAAGGGCAAGATGGAGTCACACCAGGAGGTCAGGGTGAGTGATGGTAGCATGCCAGCCCCTGGCTGGTCCTCAGTCACTTCCCCACCACAAAGCTAGGCCTTGAGATCCACGGCCCCTGTGCTCCCGGGGCTGTGTCCCAGCTGCTCAGTCGCAGAACTGGGGGTCCTTGAGGGCCCTGGCCTGAGCGTCCCCAGCCAGATGCTGGCTGCAGCCCTCTAGGTATGCAGGCATCTGCTTCTGCCCAACTCAAAGGGGCGACGCGCGCTCCCAGGGCGGCAGCGCCAGGCCACCTTCTTCTATCCCTGGGTTCTGACTGCTGCCCAGGGCTTCACCCACAAGGGAGAACTCTCTCTCCCCACGGTGTCATCTAGGCCCCACAGGCTCCTGCGCCAAACGCTAGAAAGTGCACACAGCATGCAGAAGCATGGCCCCTTGGAGCTGCATGGTGTGGGGCTGCCCCGTACATGTAGGCATCCTGGCTTTTGTCCCCAGGTGCCAGTGTGGTTCCCCTTGGCTGCGACAGCCAACACTGTCTTGACAGTCATTGCCCATGGCCCATTGGTTGGGCAGGAGCGGGTGACGAGATCGTCCCTGGTTGAGAAGCCCTGACCCAGGGCGAAGCCCAGTTCCCTCAGGCTTCCACTCAGCAATGCCTGCTCCCCGACTCCCAGGCAGCCAGGCTTGGAAGGTTCCCAAGCCGAGTCCCTTCCTGGCCAAGCTCTGGGCCGACCTCATACAACCTGAAGTCTTGCTGACATCTTACACAATCCTCTAACAGACTGTTTTTTGGAGATGAGAAAAATGAGGCTCAGAGAAGTTATGTGACTTGTCCAAGGCCACACAGCCCCTGGGTACGGAGCCAGGGCTACATCTTTGGTTTTGTAGCTGGGCCCATTCGCTCCACAAGGGAGGATCCAGACCCACAAGTTGCCCTCTTCCAACAAAGCCCTGATTCTCTTGGACAAACCTCCTCCCTTCATCTCTGGCATGGGCAAGGGCATGAGCTTGAATCCTGCTCACTCCTTCAATACCCATTTCAGCCAGTGCCAGGGTCATTCAATGGGATCGCTCCTTGGCTCTGGTCAGCACCAGAGGTTTGTTATAAATAGCCTGGAAAGACAAGCTGGAGGCAGAAGCCAGGACACATGCGTGGCTTGTGTGGCAGGGATCTTCACTAAAAGGCCAATGTCTTCATTCACAGAAGAGGAAGTGGCCCTGGAGGAGGGACGTGGGTGTCCTGGGGCACCAGGCAGCCTCACAGTGGAGCCTGCTGTCTTCCAGAGCACCTTGTCCTTGTCCTGCCCGCCACACTGATCTCTCTAACCCCTGGTCGTGCACACTTTGCTGCCTAGGCAGTGCAGTAGTTGGCCCTTCCCCAAAGGGAAGCAGAGGACAAGTTCGGAGTGGTCGTCTAACAAATGCCTGAGGAGGAGACTTCCTCCCAGACCCTTGCAATCGCCCGGGAGGGGGAGCCTCACTGACTGGAACAAAAACAACCCTGACCGATCAAAATGCTTTACACATTTTCTCATGTGAAACTCATCCCAACGAGGACTCTGCTGGTGACACCAAGCCTCAGAAAGGGGCCTCACGTCATCGCTTTTGCAAGGACAGAGCTGGAGCTGACGTCTCCCATCTGTCTCATGCATAACTTGATTGTTAATCAAACTCAACAGTACAGGAAAGAAAACTGCCTCTGGGGGCTGCACGGTTCTTTTCCGATTAGGAATGGGTAAGCCCAGCACTCACAGTCAGGAAAGGAGTGGGCAGGAAGGGAGGCCTGGGTTGGAGGGAGAAGATTGCAGCTCCAGTTGTCGCTCAGCCAGACTTGCTGTGTGATCGGAGGACTTCTGAGGTCCCCTTCAGCCCTAACGTTATTATTCCTCCTCAGCACACTTCCCAGAATTGAATTCTCACACAGTGACATGGCTTGAGATGATAGGTAGACAGAAGACAGACAGGTGAGAGGCAGTAGCTGGATAAAGACACAGGTGGCTGCCCAGTCCCTATCTACGCAACCAGAGGGCCGCAGCTGCTGACATTCTCTTGCACAAATTTGTCCTCATGGCTCAAAGTCTTGAAAACATCTTTCTTTCTTTTTCTTTCTTTCTTTCTTTCTTTCTTTCTTTCTTTCTTTCTTTCTTTCTTTCTTTCTTCTTTCTTTCTTTCTTTCTTTCTTTCTTTCTTTCTTTCTTTCTTTCTTTCTTTCTTTCTTTCTTTCTTCCCTTCCTTCCTTCCTTCCTTCCTTCTTTCCTTCTTTCTTTTCTTTTTTTTTCTTTTTTGAGACAGGCTTTGTTTTTTTCTTGCTGTGTAGTTCAGGCTGGCCTGAACTCACTATGGAGCCCACACTGGCCTTGAATTCCCAGCGATCCTCCTGCCTGAGCCTCCTGAGGGCTGGGATTATAGGCATGTGCCAGCACATCTGGTACAAAAGCAATGTTTGAAAGATATATTAACTCTTCAGCTGTTGGTAGGTGTGATCTAGGCTTGTGATTGTGAAGAAGAGACCCAGAAAGAGTCACCAAAGACAGCTTCCATGAGTGTGACCCTTCTACCTAGAAGGAGCTGCTTCAGGTGACATGGGGCAGGTCTAAAACTACTGCTCCGTGAAAACGTGGGCATACAGTCACCCAGAAGTTCTGACTTCCAACAAAAACCTGGAAATTGTTGTTGAAAACAAACAAATACAAATAGAAAGTAATTGTACAGTTGGCCCTGGGTCTGTACAATTGCATCAGTGGGTTCAATCAATCTCAGATGGAAATTTTTTTTTTAAATTATGCCTGTACAAAACGTATACTAAATTTTCCTTGTCAACAGTCCCTAAACTATGTGAAATATCTGCCATTCACTAACACTCACAGGGTTATAAAGCACCTAGAGGTGTTATTGGGGAGGGTGTGCATAGGTCATAAGCAAATTCAGTGCCATTTTATATGTGGGGCTCGAGCAATGAGGATTTGGGTTCTTATAGAGGTCCTGGATCCCAAAGGAAGACAGATCTTGTCCCCACCCCCTGGATTGGGTATGGTATAAGTTAGTGAGGAACTCAGCAATAACTACTGTGCAGTTATGTTAAAGAGAAACCTGATTCCCAAGCTTCTACCAGTATGAAAAACATCTCCTTTGAACAGCTGAAGAGCAGATTGCCTGGGTGTGAGGTGGTGGGTTATCTGTTTTTGCAGAGTCTTAATGAGTTTTTGAATATGTAAATGTAGACAGAAGCTGAAAAAGGAAACAGAGAAGGAAAATGCTCTGCCTAGTAAGGACAGAGATGAATGTTTCACTTGTTGGTTTGTTTTTGAGGATTGTGAGGATTAAACCTAAGGCCTTTATACTGAGCTAGATCTTCAGACCTTTTTTATTTTTAATTCTGAGACAGGGTCTCTCCAAGCTGTTAAAGTCCCCAGGCTGGGCTTGAACTTGTGATCCTCCTGTCTCAGCTTCCCAGAGTCCTGGGATTCCAGCAGAAATGGATTTCTCAGGTGGCACAGGAGAGGTGAGGAGAGGCAGGAGGGGCAGGGAGGAGGAGGGCAAGGAGACAGGGTGGGTGGAAACCATGGGAAGTCCATGGTCTGCAGAGAGACTCTGAGAAGAGGGACCTGTTCCACCTTTCTTGCTGCTGATTTCTGTGCCCATCTGCACGGCACTCCTCCTCCTCTTCTCTACCCAGCATACCAGGAAAAGCACTGGACCAAGGAAGCTTTGGGAGAATCAATCCCCAGAGTCTGGGCCCCACCTGGGGCTCCTGTGCAGAGCAAAGTACAAGGCAGCTACAGGATAGGAGTAAGGATGGATCCCGGAACCGGAAGAGGTGAGAATCAGGAAGGCGGAAGCCATTCCCACATTTTGGCACTGCAAGTCTACAGATGGGGGCGCTAGGGCTCCTGCTGGCTTCAGGAGAAAGCCAAGGAAGGGTCTGGCTCCAAGGCTGGAGAACTTGGGGCCCATCACAGCCCACTTGCGTGGCTTCCCACACTGCCAGGGCTGGCAGGGTGCGGCCCACAGGGACATCCAGCCTCAAGCAGCTGGCGGCCTTCGGAGGCATTTCTGTCAAGGGTACATTTGGAGCAGGACACCAGGTGGGAAAGGACAGGACCTGCGTTCTTCTCCCGCTTACTCCTCCCAAACCAAACCATTCTTTGTACATCCTGCAAGCGTCCCGGAAGGGACAGGAAGCAGCCTCCTCTTCCCCATTATTCCTGTGTCTTGCCTCAGAGCTCGGAAGTGCACACACTGGGATGACAAGGAGGCCCCTGATGCCAGGGATTCCAGGGCTCGAGGAGAATGCTCCCTGCTGAGACCCCTCTGCTTTCAGGGGACTGACCCCTTCCCCTCCAGGCAGTGAGGCCCTCCCAGAACACAGGCCCAGGCTGACAGTGCTGCGCAGTGTCCATGCAAATGTGTCACATATATTATCTGATTTACCCTTCCTATGGGCCTTTCGAAGTTGATTCTCTTCACAGAGGAGGAAACTGAGGCCCAGTGGGTTTCCATCTCTCTGGGCCTCTGTGCTTTTCAACCATGGCACCATAGGAGCAAGCACACAGACAGCACCAGACCAGACAGGACAAGGAGATTCCTTAGAGGAGGGAGGACAGACCACATCTGCACCAGGCAGTGACAGAGACCCTTGGCTCTCTTGGTGGGGTTTCCAGGCTCATGGGACCCATGCGGTGTGGGCCTAAGGCATCTTTCAGCACCACACAACTCAGAACCTCTCTCTGCAGCCTGTGGTGCCCATCTGAGACCCAGGTCACCCCTGGACACATGATGTTGCAGGAAAGCTTCCGGGACACTGCTGCTGCACGCTCTGGTTTGTAGACCAGAATCACACGTTTGTGTCCTGAGCCTCCTTTAGTCCTGTCAGCTAAGCTAGTCAGCCATGGGTAGAACCTTCAAACCAAAACGAAGAAAGGGAATGCAGAGCACCCACCAAGGAAACGAGGCCCAGCCAGGCTGCAGAGCCCAGGGAGCTCTGTGCCCGTGGAGAGCATGCGGGTGAGTGCCCATCCACAAACCTCATCTTCTCCAGGCCTGGCAGCACTGCAACTGCTCAGCTGCAAGCTAAAGGCCCACACTGCATCCGGCATCAGAGCCATGGCAATTTGTCTCACCTCAGAAAGTCCTAGCTCATCAACTTGGTCACCAAGCCTGAGTGCTGCACATCTATGTCCAGATGTGGAGTGTGTGTGTGTGTGTGTGTGTGTGTGTGTGTGTGTTCACATGTGTGTGCCCTGGATCCTACACCATTGCAGTGAGTGACCATGGCTAACTAACTAGTTACTCGCCTCTGAAGCCTGGCCGTCTGGGAGGACCTGGCCACCTTCCCTTCCTGGCTGGCCAGTGACCTGCCCTTGGGGGAGTCCTTTCAGGAACCTGGGTTCTGCAGGGCTCACCCTCCCCACACTGGGACACTCACCAACAGGCCATTGGAGCCGTGGACGGTGACACAGCGGGAGAACGTGTGGTGGATGGAGAGGTCCCTGATGTAGGTGGGTGGGTCATAGCCGCCCCGCTCATCCACGTCGCCCGCCAGGTGGAAGTGGATCGGGTACTGGCCCAGCAGCTGCTGCCCCATGTGCTTCAGCTCCACGCCTGACAGGTGTGCAGCCTTAAACCCCAGTGCAAACTGGGAAGGGAGAATGAGGGTCAGGGGGACCTGGGACTTCCTGTCCCCATGGTCCCAAAACACAGCACTGCTGTCCTTTGGTGCACCCCAGTGTCCCCTCAGGGACTCAGCAAGCCAGAGATGTCCTGTGCATGTGGCTTAGGGACCTGGCGCTTCCTATCCCATGGGAGAGGAGCAAAGCCTCATTGATGGCTGAGGATTCAGCAAGACAGGGACTGCTGGGACAGGGGACATTGGGGGCTGCATAATATCAGGCCGCTCTGACCTTCCTCCCCACCTCCCAGCCATCTAGTGGTGTCCCTGGACAGCCTGGGGAGCCGGGAATGGAAGCTGCAAGTGATTCTGGGCAATGCCTGTGCCATGGTCCACCTGAGACCTTCTCAGAGGGTGGGGGACAGACACGATCCAGGAATCCCTGAATCCCGGTTGTGGTGGCACATGCTCCAGAGGACAGATGCCCATGGATTCCCTTTCCAGTAGCTCAGAGCCACTCCTAGCACCTCTGGAAACCACGGATCACACCCATGCCTGTGGTCCAGGCACTCACAGAGAAAGTGGGGTGTGAACAGGATCCTGTCAAAAGTGGGCTCAGCCAGCTTCTAGAGAAGGAGGATCCTGAAATGCTAACTTTCTGCCCAAATGAGGGGCCATGGGAATGCCAGCTGCAGGAGGGCCCCTGAGAGCTGCGCTGAGAGTGCACCACAGCCTGGTTTGCCTCAGTGGGCAAGGGTTTCCCAAGTCACTCTGGTCACTCCCAGGATGGGGAGGGCCTATGGCAGCTTGCATGCCATTCACTTGCTGTGCTTACTGTGGTCTCACAGCCCCACCCTGTCCCCAGAGAAGGATTGGAAACATGTGGATGTATTTGTGGTGGTGACAATAACTGATTCATCTAAAATGCCACCAGGCCCTCCATGAACTCTATGTCTCACACCCTTAGCTTCTTCAGTTAGGTTGCCAGTGTCAAGACAACTCTCTCCACATGAGTCGAAAATATGCTCTCAGTATGGCAACCAGTGGCCTTGTGGAGAATTTGCGGGTGTCTTCTACCATTTAATAGGCAGGACATGCAAAGGAAATCTCCCCTGGAGGTCCACAAGAGGAGACAGTGAGCACCTAGGAGCTTGGATGTTTTTTACTACATAGTTAGAACTTGGTTGGACCACCCAGCATGTCTGGCTCTGCCTTGCCTCTCTACCAAGAAACCCACAGGTAAATTTAACGTGAAACTTCCAGCTTCTCTCCCCTGCTGGCTGTTTTCTCCATATGGTAGTTGGTCTTTCTGTGAGTTCAATGCTAATTCTTTTGGGAAGGGACCAGGATAGAATTGGGAAGACAGGAGACAGAGCAGTGAGAAGCAGGAAATGCAGCCTGCTAGGACCAACGTGGCCCAGGCTGGTGCCATTATCCCTCTGTTCCCAAGAGCTGCAGGCACAACTGCAGTCAGTGGGTGGGACAGAGACATGTGTCTCCAGCTCCACACCCCATGCCTGTACCTCCTGGGAATCCCTGGCCACCTGGAATGCTCTTGGTTGTAGTGACAGGCTCAGCTAGGCAGACCCGTACCTTTATGTGGCCCCCAAAGGTATCAAAGTCAAAGAAGCTGCAGAGGTGGTTGCTGTAGGGGTAGCATTTGTCCTCCATCTCCCCCATCACCACGATGTTCCGGCTCAGGAGCCCGACCTCGGCGCGCATGTCCACACCATCTATCTCCTCCCCGATGTGCAGGTACAGCGGCTTGCCTGGGGCAGACGGGGGTGGAACAGCACGCGTGTTATCACCAGGCCCCTCATTGGGCCCTGTGGCTCCCAGGGCATTTTATAGAAGAATGAAGCCTAGGGAGGTGATATCTAATGCTGAAGGCAGAACCAGGGTTCCCAGCCACAAGTGCTTAGGGCTGAAGCCTGTGGCAGAAATGGGCTTTTCAAGACCAGACTCTCCTATGCATTAGCTGGACATATAGCCAGCCAGGGTAACTGTGTTGCCCACCCTCCCTGTAGTTAGGTGTGGCCACTGGATTATGAGCAGAAGTGCTACGAGTATCCTCCCGAGGCAAGCCCTGGCAAGCACGGAAGAATCCTGCCCTCAAAGACAGCAGAGCAACTTCAGAAAAGAAACCAGATCTGGCTGACCCCATGGAACCTGCATGCCAGGCCACCTGCCAGCTGGGATTCCTGAGAAAATACAGCAATCGTTGTCTTTCTCTATCCCCTGCTGTAGAGCAGAACCGTCTGTATTCTGCTCTCCTCACCCTCATGGGTGTGTACCTACAGCATCTGTCTACAGGGCACATGGCCTGTATCTATAGGGTCTGTAGTATCTATAGGGCGATGGTGTCAAAACTAAGGCACACGGCTGTTTGTTATTGCTGAAAGCTCTGAAAGGTTCACCATCACCACTATAGGGTGTGTGTTAGACTCAGACAGAAGCTTCTGTCCACCACTGTGGCCCTGCTCTGGAGCCCTGTGAACGCTGTGTGGAGAGTGGGGAAGAGCCTGCACCTACTGTGTGCCTGCCCGTGCCTCTCCTGCAGCCTCTCTGTGCAGCTGACCCGGCCCAACCCCTTCCCCAGGCCTAGTAGCTTCTTCTTCTGGTAGCTTTGCTTCTTCTTAACCCTGCTGTCCAACTTCCCTGAGCCTTCCTAGCCCTAAAAAATGAACAAAAAAAGGCACACACACCCGCCCCCCGGCTATTGTCATCTCTCTCCTGCAGTGGGCAGACTCTCTGAATGGGGTCCATGCTGTCCCCTCCATTTTCTCTCCACTCTCTTACTCCCACAACTCCATTCAAGCTTTTTCCACAGGCACTTCACATTTCCCTTTCTGCCTTCTCCTCCTGCACGGGTGCAGAAAAGGCATCTTAAAAGAAGAGCAGGATGACAGGTGCTCAGACACGGAACTATCCTGGCTTTGCCAGCCTAGATTCAGCCTCTAGCACAGTCCCACATTCTTTGCTACAATAAAAGTCTGAGCATGGCTCTGAATTTGGCCCATCCCTGAGATTGCTGGCCTGGCTTGTAGACACTTTCGCATCTGAGGTGCAGTTACAAAGAGCAACCACCTCCCCACCTGTGGATTGAGGCCACTCAACAATCAATACCACTCACCTCGCTGGGTTTTCACCATGACCTTGAGTAACAGAACTCTTGCTTCAGCCTGTGACCAGCCAGGGCCCATGTGTGAGGGCCACAGTTATATTTAACTCAAGTACCTCACAGTGACCTTCCTCTGCCCTCTCACCCACAGGAAGAGCTGACCCCATGTGCCATCACCAGGTGCACACCCGGGTGATCCAGGATAACCTCCCATCTCATCTGAGTCTGACCATATTTGCAAAGTCCCCTTGGCCATAAATGTGCACTCATGTGTCCTGAGGATTAAGAGGATCTCTTTCAAGGCCATTATTCAGCCAGCCACAGAGTTCTTCTTAAAAAGTCTTGGCACTGTGTTAGTCTGCTTTCTGTTACTGTAAAAATACCTGAGATAAATCAGTTTAAAAAGAGGAAAGGTGTCAGATGTGGTAGCAAACATCTATAATCCCAGCACTTGGGAGGCTGAGGCAGGAGGATCACAAGTTCAAGCCCACCTTGGGCAACTTACTGATTTGGCAAATCTTGTCTCAAAAATAAATAAATAAATAAAAGGAGGAGGGGTTTCTTTTGGCTCCTGTCTTCAGAGCTTTCAGTCTATGACTGACTGGCCCGTTGCTTTTGACCTGTACTGGCTCAGTACGTCACGGTGGTGTGTGATGGCGGGGGAAGCCTGTTCACCTCATGGCTGATAACAAACAGAAAGGGAGAGGCCAGCAACACACAGTCCCCTTCGAGGGCTCATCCCCAGGGACTTCAGACCTCCTCTTAGGCTGCCTTGTAAGGTTCCACCACCTCCCGGTAGCACCAAGCTGAGGACCCAGCCTTTGATGCATAGACTTCTGGGCAACATTAAAAATTCAGACAATACATTGGGCCCTGTGTCTCTAGTTTCAAGGCCCAGAGCAGAGTTCCCTCTGGTTCCTCTGCTTCCACCCCAGCTCATCCAGCACCTTCCCAGGTATGGAGGGCAGAGTTTCTCCCTCAAAGCTTCACAGAGTGTCTGAGTGCCCGTGGCTTAGAGGAGCCAAGCAGGAGGCTGTGCCAGATGCATGTCTGACTGGAGGACCGGAGTCCAGGGCAGGAGATGCTAGAAATGGGCTCTCGTCATCACTCACCATGGAGACTCACACACAGGGCTTTCCACAGCCTGGAGCTGGCTCCCTGGGGTCCTGCTGTGGATGTGGGAGGTCAGGTGGTGCTCAGCATGCTGCTGTGATCGGCTGGTGAGCAGGTTATTCCCCACCCTCCAGGCTCTGGCTGTGGCCATGAGCACTGCAGCCCACAGCTCTGTAGGAGGCCCCATCTGTGACTTGAAGAACACACCCATGCAGGTGGGAGACCTCTCCTTCCAGAACCTTGTTACTCTGCCTACGCGCTAGGTTTTGAGGGCTGAGCAGGTCACCTTGTGTACGGTAGAGGTCCTCTCGCAGTGGCCCTGGGAGTGTGCAGCTGCGACTGCTTAGCAAGAGTGCCTACTGCAGAGATAGGGAGCACACCACCAGCAGCTGCCATATCTCCATGGTCCACCTGTCCATGGGCGCCAAGGGCTCTGCCCAGCAACTGCAGTGCAGTGATACTAAAGTCAGCCATTTCTGTTCCACAAGGGACTAGATGCTGGGTAGGGCCTGCCCCAGAGCTCCCCGCTAGCTTCCCAGTTTCCTCAGCGCCCCTGCAGCCCATGGCTCTTCTCATGTGACTGCCCTTCCACCTTCCCGCCTGTCACAGGTGCCAGATGTGCACCATGGCTCCCTGTACCTGCTCCTGCACCCCCTTCCTGTGGTCCTTCACCCCAAGCCAATCTTCTATATCTAATGCTGTCTGCACACACTTTCCTTCTTTGTGTTTCTCTTGTCAGAAGATCTTGGGGATCGTTATGGAGTCCCAAGGATGTCTAGCACCCTCTGCCTCTCTGCCTGCCCTGGTCTTCCAAACTACCTCAGTTCAAGACGTTCCCTGCAGATGAGCAGAGTAGGAAGAATTGGTCCTTCTTTGCATCTTTCCCTTCTGGGATCCTGGCTGCTGAGATCCTGGTCTTCCAGGGGCCACATGTCCAGTTTTGCTGGATCAGGCTTTATTTTCTCTATTAGTGGATACCTCAAGGCAAAGCTCAGAGAAACTCCCAAAGGCCTCCTCAAGCCAGCAAGGCTGCTTTGAGCTCTGGGGACAGAGGAGGAACTGATAGCCCAGCAAGAGCTCAGTGCTCAGAGGCAGAGCAGGTCTGTCTATGAACCAGCCACAACTGGGGCTAGGAGGTGCAGCCTGGGTCCTGAGATACGGCTCAGAGCGGACTGCCTGGGGTGACTCTAGGGCTGGGCTCAGTCCTGCTATCCAAGGCTCAAGACAGGGGTTCCCCAAGACAGACAGAAAAAACCCCAGCTCCCTGAGCTTGTCTCCACCCTCTGCCCCAGCCAGCCCCATGGCCGCCCTCCCTCAGCCTGCCCCCTCTCCGCTTTACATCTCAGCCCTGCCCACCTGCTCCCTCTGTGGGGCAGCTTCTCTCCACCTCACCCAAGGGGCGGATGGCCGCATCCTGCGGACCAAGCTCCACATCTCCCCAGGAAACTCCCCAGCCACACTGAGCACTGACTTTTTCTCTTCAGTGTCTTGCAGAGCTCAGCAGAGCCAGAAGTGGACCAGGCCTCCCCGGCACCAGACCACACATCCGGGCCTTCTGACCATTCATTGCTTGGGGCCCATGCCCACGGGTTCCCGGGCTTCTCTCAATACTCCTCAAGACATGGCATCCAGACCAGACCATGTCAGAGGCTTCTGTGCTCGAGGGTGGCCAGACAGCCTTCCGAGGAGGTAGGAGAGGGCAACAGGGAGGCCGCTGGCCCCAGAGCCTGCTGTGAGACTCAGCTTGTTGCTGTGAGCCCCTGAGCATGCGATTTAAGCTCCCTGAACCTCAGGCTCTTCATCTGTAAAGCAGAGATAGTAATAGCATTGCCCTGCGAGGCAGTGCAACTGTGAAGGGAGTTAATCCATCAAACAACAGCAGCTTCAAATAGCCGCTGGCGCAGGATAGGCCAAGTACCACAGGAATGGCACAGACAGCTGCCACTGGCATTGTCCCAGGTGAAGGCTGGAGTCCAGACCTAAAGGACAGGGGAAGCTCCGTGGGGGAAGGCGGTCAGGGTGCAGCAGGGGCTGCCCGCCTCAGAGCCTGCAAGCAAGGCTGTGCTGGGTGGATGGATGAAATGGCTGGCCCCGTGTCCAGCCCCAGCCTTCCCCCCACCACTGTGCGTCTTTATCCTCTGTGCAGTCCTTTCCGAAACCCTTGCCGTCGGCTCCGTGCAGACTTCTCTGTCCAGCCCAGACTCCCAGGGCAGTGTGTGTCTGACTTCCCGCTTTCTACCCTGTCAGAGGAATTCTCTCTCTGGCATCCACCATGCCCCTCTTTCTCCAGCCCTGGTGCATGGACCTGGCCAAGCCAGAGCTGTCTCAAATGATTGAGAAGAGCAAGGAGGAAGGCTGCCTGGGGAGTGGAGGACCTGCAAACACTGGCCTTTCCCTGTGTTCCCCTATGGGCAGCACCAGCTCCACAACCCCCAAGCCTTGCCACTCCAAGCCCCTCCACCAGGTACCCTGGGTTGAGAGGATGAACACCAAGACCTTCCAAGGCAGGAAACAGACTCGTGTGCTGGTCCTCAGACCTAGGACACTCCAGCACACCTGGAGACTGGGGGTGGGGCTCCCTTCCCAGACCATTGGTTTCAAGGACAAACCCCAGGACATGAGTAGGAGCCCCACAGGGGTACGCTGGGAGTAGGTGATTCTGGAGGAAGGTGAAGGCACACACACAGGCCTGGAGCCTGGGGCTCTCGTTTGAATCCTGGCTCAGGTACTGACTTACTTGGTCTACCCTAGCAGCTCCACAGGCACCTTCTTCTACACCTAAAATGCTCCATCCTGGGTTCCTAAAGTAGTAGTCACCAGGCACATGTGGGTATTGAGCACTCAGACCCTGGTGACGGTGACTAAGGGAGGGAACTTTACATTTTAGATCATTCTAAGTGGACTTTTGCAGCCACATGTGGCTGGGGACAACTACATTAGGGAGCACACATCTGTCATCTGGTGTCTGGGGAACCTCGGTCTCTACCCAAGCCATGCAGGGGAGAGTGGCACCCACAGTGTGGGGTTATCATGCAGGTTACCTGAAGTTCTTGGGCCATCACGGGAAACCCAGTCAACAGCCTCTCTACTGAGCCGTGCTACGTAAAGGAGTGGGGTGTTCACAGGCAAAGTGGGAAGGTGGTGGTGAAAACAGGACCAAAACAACTGTCACCTCCACACCAGCAGGGGTTGGGAATTGTACAGCGATTGGCACAACTTGGAAATATTTTTTTTCGATGATTCACGCATTTCTGTTATTTTGTTACCCCCATCTGTTTCCCATCAGGAAACCCTTAAAATGCAAAATAGGGCCATTTACTGCAGTCTGGGGACTCCGTAGCAGGAGGATGTGTCTGCTCCACAGCCAGCCTGGGGAGGGGACCCTAGGGCTCACAGGGGTGAGACAAGGTACAGGCTGGGGAGAGGCGGGTGGAGTCGTTGCTCTGTGCCAGCGGTGGATAGAGTGCCAGAGGCAGCCTCGGGCCAAAGAAGAGGAATGTGAGGGGGCCTCCCCAGGACAGACAGATGGACAGACAGACAGACCATCTTCCCAGGCACTTTCTGATGTGCTCACAGATGCCATTTTCATGGGAGAACAGCATCAAGCAATGCACAACTCTAAGGGAGAGGGAGGTGGCCAGGACAGTAGGATGCAGGCAGTGCTGAGCTGGAAGCCAGGGCGTCCTGCAGGGACCTGCCCTCTCCTCCATGTCTCCTTCCCTTCCTGGGCACCCAGGGTCCAAAGTAGCCCTGTCACACTTGGTCCAGCTGCAAAGAGCCTCAGGGGCAGCTGGCTTGTTGGTGGAACCCAGTCAGGAGGAGCAGCTCAGTACTGACCCAGACGCTCTACAGCGGGATCCAGATGCACCCTGACACCCCATGAACCTCTCAGGATCAAGGAGACTACCATCAGCACCTGTGAGGACCTGTTCAGAGTCAGATCCCCCTCCAGGTGTGGGGCACCCAGCCTGGGCTCAGGACACAGCGGGTCTCCCGGGTTGCCCTCTCCTCCTCAACACAGGCAAGGGTTCAGGTTGGGCTTTTCTGGCATTCGGGCACCACAGACACAGCCTAGAGCCACGGGCAGTGACATCAGCCCAAAACCCTTGAATGCCACCCCTGTGGCGCCCCCAAAGGCTATCCACAATGCACTCTTTCGGGTAACACTGCAGTCACCATGATAACCTGAGGGCCCAGCACCCCCTCGGAACTCACTCATCATCTCAGTGCCCACCAGTCCTTCCCGGCCATGGCTGCCCACCAGGCTCTTGGCCTTCAGTGACCCCCTCGTGCACCGGCCCGTGGCCTCCTCATCTCTCTGCAGCCCTGTGAGCTCCCATGTTCTCCACTCCAGCTGCTCCTATCCTCCCAGGGTGGGGCTCCTGCTCCCCCAAGAGGGTCTCCACTCCACACTCCACCTGGCAGCCCTCCTCTCCTTGTCACCCTCCACTTCCCTCCAGCCCCGGGCTCAGCAGCTGGCTCCTCCACGAAGGCTCCCACCCCAGCCCTGACCCTGCAGGTCCCTGTCCTGTGCTCCTAGCACCTCCACTCTTCCGTTTCCATAGCAATCGTCACAGTGGGAGTTTGGTCCTCATGGAGTGACTCTTGATGGATGTCTGTTTTCCCTGCTGGACTGCAGCATCCCTGAGTGCAGAGAGAGCACCCCATCTTGCTCATCCTGGCATCGAAGGCCTGGCACTTAGCCTGGCACACCTGATATGTGCTCTTTAACCACTTTCAGAGTGACTTCCTGTGTATCCCTGTGGAAGAAGAGCCAAGGCAGCTGCCCAGGCTGGGGGCAGAGGAAGGGCACGGTATGCACATTTGCAGAGTTGGCATCCCGCTCCTTGAGGTGTCCAGGCAGGCCAGCTAATGACCACAGGTGTTGGTCAATGAAAATGGTAGAAAGAGTTTGCTTCTTTCCCTCTACAACACCCTCTACCTTCATGTCCCAAAGAGTAGAAATGATAATCTGTGAAATAGCCAAGGTCCAGTGACTGCCCGCCAGCCGTGTCCCTGCTGTCAGTCCATCATAAGCCTAGTAGCCATAATATTGCCTCTGATACTACTAATAATACTAATACAGCTTGCACTTACTGAGCACTTACTCTGTACCAGCCAGTATTTAAGTACCTCATACACACAAACGCTTTGATCTCCACATTAACCCCATGAAATGGTTATGATCGTGTCTCCCTCTTACAGACAAAGAAACTGAGGTACAGTGGCTTTGTAGTCATTTCAGGGCTCCTAGCTAATAACTGGCATCTCCAGGATTCCAGTCATGGATGCCTGGTTCTACGGCCTGAGTTCTGCATGCTCTGTGTGCCATTCTGCTTCTTCCAAACAAAACCAAAAGCAAAACCATCTCCTTCAGCGTCTTTGTGGAATGTGACATCTAGTAAGTGACCTGGGCCACAGCCAGCCACACCCTTCACATGACAGCCCTCACGGCAAAGTCCGCAGGAGCTCAGAGCCAGGGAAAGGGCCCACTCTTGGCCTAAGGGCTCCTTTCTTTCACTGGTTAAGGATAGATAAGTAATTTGTTGATTTTCTTTGTCTACTTTGGCTGCCTGGAATTTCAGAGATAAATATCATGGCTTATTTCCTGAGCTTCTGCCAACCTTAGCTTCCCTCTACATTTGTTGAATGTGTTCTCCTATCAGTCTCTTATCACTTGAATGTGTCCCTCCCACCCATACACACACTGTTGTCAAAGTCATTCAGACTCGGCTTTGGAGTGAGATACCCAAAGCCTCATTCAAACAAGGGTTCATACATTATCATTTTGAACTGCAGACTCTTACTTTGTGGAGGACAAGCGCGTGGTCGTCTCGGCCTCCACCCACATGTTGCTACCACCCCCTGCCCTCTTTCCAGCGACACTCACCAAGATGTCATCTCCCCAAACAGCACAACGCTACAACCTTCCCCTGAAGGCTTCCAGCTCTACAATGGGCCCCCTGGGACCACAGCTGTGGTGTTTGTGGACTGCCTTAGTCATGTGACAGCCAAGAATAAAATAAAGGGACTGAACACCATCATCATCTCCCCACTTTTTATAAGTGTGCCCCTAAATTCCTTCTCAAGCACACATCAACCAGCCAAAAAGACCTTGGTGAGTTTTAGTTCCCATAGGTTTATTTCCAAAATAATAGATATTTGGAATACACTGGATGGCCGCTTCTCATTCAAAGTGCTCTGGTCCTGTAGCAGGTAATAACCCAGTAATACCTGGTCTTGGTGCCCCTTTCTGTGGTGGCAGAGCCCAGTGCCCCCCTAGGGAGTGGCCCTTCCTCCTGTGACCCACCTAGGATGCTCTGAAGTGACCATGCCTCTCTCCTGGCCACAGCAGTCAGATGCCCTCCCTGTAGGTGACCTGTGAGCACAGTGTCCCCAGGACCAATCATAGTTTGAAGACAGCAGTGCTCTAGGGGTGGTACCCATGAGTTCCCGCTACCCAGGACCTGGAAGCTGCCCAGCTCCTTGTCCTTCAGCTTCTCTACCTTCCAGCTGCTAGTCTAGCCCTGAGCTGAGTCTCAATTCCTGTGTTGCCTCTGATAGCCAGGTTGGATTCTGTGGCTCACAACCCTAGAACCCTAATTGATACACAACACCCCCATAAGGAACAATCAACCTCGATTATATATGAGGGTTTTATTGTGTTTTTTTTTTTTTTACCTCTAACAGTGTGTGATTCCAGTAAGCCCCATGACATAAATTACAGGACCCTTAAGTCAGGATTTAGGGGAAGAAAAAGAAAAACCCAAAAGCTACTGAAACAGGAGATTTAAGATTCTGTGGTAGATTAAATTATTTTCTCACTAAACTCCCACCTTTCAGTCCCAATAGAAGACACATGCTTCCCAGGTTTGGATTGGCCCGGGACATGTGCTTCAGCCAGTGGACAGTGGTGTGCTGGTGTGCTTTGCCAAGCCTAGGATTTAACAGCCCTTCCATGTTTAAGCTCTGCTCTCTGAGTTTTCAACCTCCCCAAGCCAAGGATCTGTCCTAGGAAGAATGAGAGTCATAGGCAGCCAGCCTGATCCCAACTCTCACCATAGAGCCAGGCTTGATCTAGAGAAGACAGCCTACAGATGCACAAGTAAGAAGCAAATGCCTGCCATGATATTATAGGGTGTTTTGTTATGCAGTATTATTATGGTCATAACTGACTGATACACATTTGTCAAAACTTCTGTTTACTCTAAGCCTCAAAGTGTTCAGAGTCATTGTAGCCTACCTGCCACCTTGACCTGGTTGGGGGCACAGGTTCTGCAGGGCAGCACCTGGAACTCTTCTGCCTGGTACATGGAGTAGTCGGTGCTGGCAACCACCAGGGTGTCTCCAGGCTTCCAGGACCGTACGTCGTCCTCCAGAGTCAGGACAGTGCTATTCACGTTGGTATCGATGGTAACTGTGAGCTTGGGCCTCACTGGAACCGAAACAGGATGGACTAAGATACAGTCCTTTGCATGGCAGACTACTGGCTGTGCACCTCTTCCCTTCTCCCTCCTATATAAGCAAATGCCAGGTTCGCCTATCCAAACCCCAAATCACCAGCTCCCTCTGTCTGTCTTGGTGCAGGGTTCTGAAGTCAACAAAAACCCAACCAGAAAAGAGCTATTCATTAGCTCTGGGCAGGGAACTTTCCACTAACTTCTGAGGAAAGTTAAATGTAGCTGCGTCACCACACCCACTTTGCTCAAGATGTAAAACAAATATAGTTCCTCCCAACTATTATTTACAGCAACAGTACGCCTCTCCCCTCAGAAGTCCTGTCCCTAATGACTGTCCTCCAGAGATGGCCACGTCCTCTGGGAACAAACCAACAATTCCCACTCCCTGCTAACCAGCACTTTGGGCCTGGGTTTGGAATCACAGCACCCAGAAAGGCAAATGGCAGTGTATGTCTGCAGGAGGACGTGGGGGTCTGTGCTGTCCATCAGAACCCCACTGTTCATCTGCACTCTACTGTCCACCCACACCCTGTTGTCCTGGAGCTCAGGCTTCCCCTTCCCAAAAGGCTCATGGGCAGGGTGGAGCTGACCACTCAGCTCCAAAGGCCTTCCCACTACCCTGTGTTATACAAGTGCACCAGCCACCCCTGCGCACAGCAGGAGCACTGTCACCACGATACTGCAGCAGCAGACCCACCCCCTCATGCCCACACAGTGAGAAACAGGCCGCTCACCAGGCTTCCCACAGAGGAAGCGAACGCGGTAGCTCTGGCAGGCGCGGCCCCGGTCATAGCAGGCGAACTTGTAGTCCTGGCCCTTTTTGTAGACAACCTCAGTGCTCAGCTTGACTCCATCCATCGTAGTGGCCTGGGAGGGGCACAGAAGTCACAGAGCAAAGTCTTTTCCCTCATCATAGGGGCAGAAGGTGATGCCTGATGTTCTCACTCTATACTTGAAGTCTAAAACTGTCTTTGCCACAAACTATTTACAATGGTTCGAGAGGATGGTCCCAGCTGCCCACAGGAGTTTTGTTACCAAGAGTAGCATGACATCTCAGAACAGACAAACACCTTGCGTGGGTCCCGCAGAGCCACGCATCCACACCGGGACATCCACACTGGGAACATCCCACCGTGTGTCCTGCAGAGGGCTCTCAGCTCCCGGCCTGGCCACTTCCTGCAGTGTAGGCACCACCACCACTGCTGGAGGGATTTCATCGAGAGGAATCACCATGTCCCAGCCCATGGTGCCCAGATGGGCTCCATATCACTCAGGAGTCTTCTAAAGACCCGAGGCCCAGGCCCTGTCCTCAGACACTCAGGTTCAGTTATGTAGGGGCTGTGGCCTGGGTGTTTCGGGTGTTTAGAAGCTGCCCTGGTAACTCTAAGAGGCCGAGAAATTGGAGGGACACTGTTGGGGTTCAGGACCCAAGCATTTACAAACACGTCACATTATCTTCACAGCAGAACCGGTGGCTGCTTTGGTGTCACCGATGGGAAAATGACAGGTGGGGAGGCGGAGCAACTGGTCCAGGATGACAAAGCCAGTGACAGAGCAGACTGTTGGGGACCACCAGCTACAAACTCAGTCTAGGGAATGTCCACGCTTGTTCTTGTCCTGCCCGTGAGCTAGAGTGGAACCTGGAAACTCCTGCTCTTGTCTGCTCACAGCTGGAAGCCCTGCGGCTAATGACTGCTGTGGGGCTCACAGGGCAAGATAAGACCTGCTGGACAGGGTAAGGCAGCTGGGGAAACTCAGTTTCCTCTGCCCCTGTCTTGTCCTTGTCCTTGTCCTTGTCCTCGTAAGAATGCTTTGTTCTTCTCACTAGCCCACGGCAGTCATCCTTACTGTTTCCAGAAACACCCGCTGCCCTTCTGCCATTGTCCTTGACTCAGATCAGTAAATGCCAAGGTTCTGGCTGCCTCCTGACCTCTTGTTCCCCAAGAACCATTGGCCATTCCAGATCCCTGCACACCCCTATTTTGTCTCTTGCTCTTCCCACCATGCGCTATAACACTTGGCAGGAGACTGGGGACTCACTGCAGGGCTTCCCGATAGCTGGCACCATGGAAAGGGTTGCCAATAGCAGGCCTTGAACCCAGTTGTACCTAACTGCAAAGCTGGGGCTCCTGAACATCTCCCCGCTGTGCCAGGGCCCCCCGCCTGCTGTGCTTTGCTCACAGGTTGGCCCCTGTCGGTGGCAGAGCTTCGAGGGGGGCGAGAGCAGGGCTTCACCTGTCTCCCTGGCCCCAGGGCCTGGCACAGAGTCTCAGTCAATGGGATTTGATGAGACCGGGGGGTAGTCTAAAAAACACTCCAAGCAAGGCTTGCCCGTGCCGGCCGGGTGTGCCCGCCCCTGAGCCCGCGTCTGCTGTTCAGAGATGCAATTTACACGAGGCCACAGCAGCTGTGATCATTGGCAAAGAAACAGACCAAGGTCAGGGCTTAGCAGCAGCGTAAGGCTAACCATTAAAAAAAGAGGCAGAGACTTCTCAGGAAACATTGTTTAGACTCGGCAGCTATTTTGGCTTAAGAATCACATAGTGTGTGATGAACATTCATAGCTAAAATTGAGGTTTTTCTTGCACACACACTCCAATTATCATGGGCATGTCTCAAACCCAGACCAGGGGTGTAAGCAGGCTTTTATAGGAAACCACTAAAGTTCCACAGGATGCAGACCCAAGCTCTAGGCCATCTGACCCCCTGAGCTGATGACTTCCTTAGCTGAGCATGGTCTTCAACAGACCCTAAAATACAGAGGCCCTGTTCTGAAGCATCGCCAGGGAAGCTGGACACTTTCCAAGGTACGACAACAACTTCAAGGGAACAATTCTGCTTTTCTTTTTTCCCTACCTGAAGAATAACCCTAGTGTTGGACAAGGAGAGTGAAAAAGGATCTATCATCAGTCAGTCAGGCGCAGTGGCACATGCCTGTAATCCCAGCACTTGGGAGGCTGAGGCAGGAGCATCACTGTGAGTTGGAGACCAGCCTGAGCTACAAAGTGAGCTCAAGGCCAGCCTGAACTGCATAGTGAGACCCTGTCTCAAAGAAACAAAACAAACAAACAAAAGGAGATCTATCACCATTCAGTGAAATGGATCTTCACCTTAAGTGGACATAAGTTTGTTGTTATTCATGCTTATAAGAATAAAATAAAACCATTGAAATATTATTATATAAACAATTTCAAATGAAGGGCACTCCCTATGGTTCAAGTACTTCGTGAATGCTTGCATTAATTCACAAAAGCCTGTCATAAGGGAACAATTATTATCCCTATTTTTGCATGTTAGGAAACTGAGGCACAAAGATAAAGAATAGGGCCAGGATTGTGAGCAAGTGACCCAGGGGACAACACTTAAGGCAACAGGGTCATGCAAGTGCAGAAGCAGCACCTGAGAGGTAGTGCCACCTTAAATACAACACCTGAGCACTGGAGGGTCTGGAGTTGCAGGTGAGGAGGCATCTCTCTGCCATCTCAGTCTCTCTGACTTCCAGATCATTCTTCTGACCCTGAGCTTAACTTCCAGCCCCAACACCACCACTGTGGGGAAACAAAAGGCACCCCAGAAGCCCAACCTGGGCTGGGAGGTGAGGGGACTTCAGGCAAGGAAAGCTGACGGAGCGTAGAGATGGGGAAACGGTTTTAGTTTACTTTTTTATTTTTTGAAGAAACAAGAGATACCAGATTCTGGGAAAGTTTCCTTGAAGTCCTCTGGGCCAGGCCAGCGGCCTCAGGCTACCTCTTCTCATGCCCTCAACACCCTCCCCAGAGGGTCTGACTGCACTGGTGCCCACAGTCCTGGCGACCCATTGCGCGCATGACACGGTGCCGGGCCCTGGGGCAGGTGCAGCGTGCGGGTGTGGAACAGCCCTGGGTATGGGGAGGGGAGGCCAAGCTGGCTTCCCAGAGGGGGCGTGGCGACGTGGGAGGTCCATGTCCCCCACCTTACCCTGGTCAGCCAGGGCACTGTGCTCCCGGCTAATGTCACCTGCAGAGAGCAAGAGGCAGAACGAGGCTGGCTTCCCTTCCCCAGCCCCGGAGATGGCCAGGAGCTCACTGCACAGCACCACTGTCCCCTGCCCCGAGTGTGAGGAGATGCGCTGGCTACAGGGTCCAGGGGACACAGACCGCCAGGAGGAGCCGGCACACTCACACCCAGGCAGTGCTTCCTCCTTGGCTCCAGAGATGGCGCCTGGACTCACATCTGCAGACATATGAGTAGGCTGTCAGCCGACTGCCTTCAACAGGCCTTGGTTTTACCAAGACGAAGCGAAGACCCCATTATGGAATTGGGAACTTTGAATTAATGAGGGGCTACAATGCTAGGCAGAATATTTTCATAGAACAAAGCCACTTGCTTTGGGAAAGCTGCCCAGAGCCTCTGGTATGGGGGAAACCATTGCTTTGTCTTTTATTCTCCTTTTGGCCTCAAATGGTTGAGAGCTTGAACTCAGGGAATGCATAGTCAAGGATGCTCTTTTGGGCAGGGGGCACAAACTGGCCCTGTGCCATGGCTGCAGACAGGGAGAGACAGAGCGTGGTGTGGTCATCATGGAAGTCTGGTGTGTGTCCTCAGCCCAGGCCTGACTGAGCGCTGGGCCCCTCCGGGAAGGGCCCGTGTGTGTGTGTGTGTGTGTGTGTGTGTGTGTGTGTGTGTGTGTGTGTTGGGAGCGGAGCAAAGGCTGGAGTAGAAATGCCCCAGGAAAGCTGTTTGCTTGCTGCCAGCAAGTCACCCTCAGTCTGCAGGAATCTGGAGTCAGGCAGCTGGCAGAGAAACTCCAGCAGGCGTCTGGAGACCAGAGAAGCATTCCTGAAGGATTTTCAGAAATATCAGGAAAGGGGAAGCCACAAAGGGACCACATAGCCTGCGGTCAAGTGCATTGAAGAGATAAGATTATGGCTATTTCAGAATTAAGACTGGAATGTTCAAGGCTACAGGAGAAAATTTCAATTAAACCCGGGAAGTCTGTGCTTTGAGGGAGTGAGTGCCTTTTGATCCTTTTGGATCCAAGAAGAGGCTGCAACTTGCAACCTAATCTGGGCAAATCCCTCTTCATAACTGTGGAGCCGTAGGAAAGGAAGAGCTTGAGCCAAGTAGTGAGCCAGGCCTCCTTGGCCTTCACTCAGTGCAGGAGGGAGCCCTGGCTAAGATGAGGGCCCTGTTTCAGGGCAAGCAGAGGTCAAAGACCTGCCAAGGACAGTGCAGTGGGGTCGGAGCACAGTCGGACTACCTGGTTAGGTGACCTGGAGGAAGTGTTGACAAGTGTCAGTCACAAGTCAATCCCCCACAAGTCACCCTTGGTGTCCCCGGAAAACTCCCAGGATCCCCCACAAGTACCAGAGTCTGTCTGTGCTCAGTTCCTTTGTAGAAAGCACATGGAATTTAAATATCACCTGCACATATCCTCCTGTGCCTCAGTCATCCCTGGGTTACTTACAGTCCCTCACATTTGTAGGTACCATGTAGTTCTACTGGATTGTTTAGGGCATAACGATAAGAAGGAAGAATCTACACACACCCGGCACAGATGCGATTATTTTCTCGGAATATTTTTGCTCCCCAGGTGGCTGAACATTTGGATGTGGAGCCTGCAGGCACAGGCAGCCAACTGTGATTTTGCTGACTGAAAGAAGATCAAATGGACTCGTCTTTCTCAAATGACTTCTAACTCTAGATCAAGCATTTAAATGGCCTCAAAACTTGCTTTGGTACAAGACCGGGTATAAGGAAATAAACCCTGTTTAGTTAGCCTGTCATTCCTGGCTTCCCTGCTCTCTGAACAACCCCAGTTCCCACCTACTGAGCTGCTGAATTTTGAGGCCCAAGCATCAAGTCAACTCTCCCGATGGAGCCAACTGTGAAGGTCTAGCTGTCCTTGGGACAGAATGAACTCCACATGAGGATCCTGAGCTAACACACTGCCCTTCTTTGAATGCTTTTATTTCACTCCATGGAGAACATGGCCCTGCCTGTGTTCTCCCCCCGGGCTGGGCTCAGCCTATACCCCAATCCTTGCTCCCCAATCCACAGTACTTGGGGCCCAAAGAAAGCCCGTCAAAGAGTGAGGTGGGTAGGTCAAGCCACCCTGGCCAGGGGGCCCCAGCTGTGGCTGCAGAGCAGGTGAAGGAGAAGGAGCAAGCAGACCCAAGAGAGAACAAGTCTTAGCTTCGGGCAGGTGATAAGCCTTTGCCTCAGTCTCTAAGAGGGAATGGTGCTCTCTGACTCACCTCCATCAGAAGGAGGAGGGCCAGGAGAGTCACACCACACAGGTGACAAGGCACCCTGCAATTTATAGCACCCCCTTTAAAATAAAGCCTGCCAGGCCAGGGATATAGCTCGGTAGCACAAGCACCAGCCTGGCAAGCACAAGGTCCTGAGTTCAATTCCTGGTACCAAAAAAGAAATAATAATAATTAAAGAAAAACAAAGCCTCCCAGCCTCCCATTCAACTGGTACCTGTATGTCAAGGGGGCGAGTGCAGATTTTTCCTGGGTAAGCTACCCGGAGGTCTGAAATTTTCTCCCCTCCTTTAGTCTGAGACACTTTATCATGGTCAAACCACTCCGTCCACTCCACATCTAGGCAGGAAGTAAGATAGGGTCAGATATCTGTCCATGGTTGCACCAGTAGGGGTAAAGGTACTTTCAAATTACCTGCCAACTCTCCCATCTTGTCTGCCTTTTCATTAAAAACACTTCTTGTTGACTTGCTTGTTTTATGAAGGTAATATACAGTTCTTGTTATTGCAAAACCAAATAAGCACAAAGGAGAAAACCCACCCATAAGTCCATTATCCAAGAACTGCTGCTAGGCCTATGGAGGCTCTGTGACAGGCAGGCGCTGCCCAGGTTCTGTGTCTGGTCAGAGCCATTGCCTGCCATGTCATGACATTCCATGAACCAAACTGAATGCTGTGGATCCCTATGGACCTGAAACTCAAATCTTAACCCTCCTTTTGGCCTGTTTCCCAGTGGGGTCTGATTAAATAAAGACCATCTCCAGTTGCAGACTTCTAGTTGAGTCTGTAACAGTTAAGTGTCCCCATTTCTGGAAGGAAACCCTTTGTTGTGCATAGCTGGTGGTTCCTGGCCTTGATCACCCGCACATCTTGGGGTATCCAGAGCTTCTCACCTTGGACCCACTCGCTGGATGAGGAGACATTGAAGTACTCGCCATGCTCCGTCCGGAAGAGTTTGAACACCTGGGCAGCCGCGGAGCCTCGGTGGCCTGTCAGAGAGCAGAGCAGGCAGACCCCAGTTCAAACAGTGGGGTTCCAAGGCAGGGAAAGCCCCTGTGCCTATGGGTCAGCAACTATTTCTTTACAAAGAGGCTTTGTTCATTGACCAGACCATTCTTCTCACTTGGAGTGCAGATTATTACTCATTCTTTTGTTTCCCTTCTGAACGGTCAGATTCAAGGTCCAAAAGATCCAGGTTTGGAGCTTACCCTTCTCCAAGTCTGAGTCCCTCCCAGGGTACCCGCAGCAGTGCCCCCTACTACTGGACAGAGAGGACTGCTGCCGTGCATCCCAAGCCATCTCCAAGTCTCCCAGGTTCCACATCTTGGCCCTGCCGCCTCCCTTCCAGCTCCTATCTTTTCTGTGCCACAACTTGGTTTTAGAATAAGCAGTGAAAAAGCTTACAGTCGGGCCCTGTACCATCCCAAATCCTCTGTAACTCCTCTTGGGTATTTTTGCCATAATTATAAAAGGGTAGTTGAACAGCATCACCATTCTTTGCTGTGGCATAGGTTATAAACTTAAGTGGAGTTTACCGGCAGCATCAAATGTTTCAGCTTTAAAAAATAAAAGTAGGGTACAAGTTACATGTTTAGTTCTAGAAAATTTGTGCAATATGTTCATAACGATGGCTGTGGTTGCCACAAAGGGGCTCGTTTACCTTTAAATACTGTTAATGTGTCAGGCATGCAGATGGAAGGGGAGGAACTGTGCACTCAAGTGGGGGCTTTAACAGTAGCGTTTGGCAGAGCTGCCTTCTATCTGCCAGTTCAAAAATTCAATCTTTTCATATAGACTATATATACTAAACATTTTCAGTCTCTAAACAGCCTTACTCTGTTCAGCCTCTTCAGATATTCTTGTGCAGCAGTGGTTCCGTGTGTAAATGCTGTGCACTGAGGATACACACACATACACACACACACACAAAATGATGTGTACAGGATAATGCCTCATACCAATCCGATGTCCATTTGTTACTGTGTTGTTAACAACCCTTTACTTCTTAGTGTTATAAACTCCACTTGAAACTGATTAAAGTCTCATGCTTGTCCAAAAAAAAAAAAAAAAGAATAAGCAGTGAAGACTTCTCTGGAAATGTAAATGTTATCGTGTATGATTGACCTGTGGTCAGGGCAGACCATTGCCACTGCCAAGAAACGTGGCCAGGTCAGCAGCTGGTCACTTCACTGCGCGGTGGCAGATGGGCAGCCATACTGGGGGGAAGGCTGGGCTCAGAAAGACCCAGGGCCTCTTGGGTAGAAATATGCTAGAGGGGCCCGGGGCTCTCACCAACCATAGATTACCGTGATATTCAATGTGGTCTTCCACCGAAGAAGAGGGATTTCCCTTCACAGTGATAAAACTCCAAGGATGTCTGAAAATAACAAAAAGTAAAGTTCTTCATGTGTCTGAATGTGGTTTTGGGCAGAGCCAGACTTGGGTCCTTTAGCTGGTCCATGTCTCTGCAGCTGGACTTTCCCATTGATCAGTGGGGCTCCCTCGCTCAGCCAGCAATCTTCCTTTGCAAGCACTGCCTGGGTCTCCTTGCCCCCTGGCCAGCCTGGTGCCTCTAACTGTGATCCTCTTTACCTCCATGCTGCCAGTAGACTGGGCATGAATCACAAATAAATAAACACCCAACAGCCCAACCGCACCACCTGCCAAGCTGGGTCACATCCTGCAGAAAGGGCTGAGTCCCTTAGGAACGCACCTTCCAAGGGAGGAGCTGACTTCTGTCCTGCCCACCTCCTCTAAGAGCAGAATTCGAGGAAAATACTGTAGGCTCATGGAACCGGCCACCCCAGCCACCTACCCCTGGCTGGAAAGGCAAAAGGCAATCTCATCCTCACAACAGGGAAGGAGAAAAAGAAGGTTGCATTTTTGGCAAGCAAAATACCTGCCTCTCCTCCAGCAGGCCTCTGGGCTGGCTCTGGCTCCTCCCTCTCTTTGTTGCCCCATCATCGTAACCAAGGAAGGGGCTCAGGACACACCGTCCCAAGATAGGGCCCCTGCACTTTGAACGCGCCTGGCTGAGAAACTGCAGCAAAGGAGGACCTCTGATCTCCCCACCCTGCTTCCCAGAAGCGGGTCACAGCCTACAGGCCAGAGGCACCCTCCCCGCACCCAGAAGAAGGGGACATCCTTACCTGGGAAGATGGGGGACCCCATGGGGAAAAGGCACAGCTGGGCCTTGCAAAGAAGACCTGAAGCTCACCGCACTCTGCCAGCAAATTCTTCCCTAGCCTTCTTCAAACTCGCATCACTTCGCCCAGGCTTAGCCCTTCCTTCCAGAAAGCCATGTAAAACTCACTGCCTTAGTGACACCATTCCGCCCTTCACTTGTAAATCAGTCTGTTTGTTCCAGGGGCCCCAGACAAGAATTTAGATGGAAGAAGAGACACATTTTTCCATTCTATCTCTGTAGGCCACTTACTTAAGTGCCAATGGCTTTCTTCATTTTTGTTCAGATCACTTGCCTTGGGAAGTAGGTCCTGGCTGAATGTGTGTATCGAGGTTTTGAGGATTCAGCCCTGGCACCCTCTCCTGCAATCGTCTGTGGCCAGCATGCCCGCCCAGCCTTGCCCCTCAGTCCTCACCCGTTCACACACCACACAGCGCCTGGACCGTCCCTCCTCCCTGGGAGAGCTGCACTTCTCCCCTGGCCTTTCACGCTGCCGGCCTCTCTGAGGGGTCCTGCCTGCCTCGCCCTCCCTGTGAGACTGCTCTAAACCCCATGTGGCTCTGTCTTGCTCCCCTGTGTGCCATGGCCCCCCTCCCAGCTTCCGCCTTCTCACAAGAGCTCGAACAGCTGGCCTAGCCCAGCACCCCCCACCAACCTCTGCTCCATGGCCAGTTCCTGAGCACATGGACAAAGGGCACATTCATGGCTTAGTGCTTCTGCCGACTGTAGATACCTTGGGCTGGCCACCCCAACTGCGTCTCCACACAGAGCAGGGGCAGTGTGTGGTCTCTCCCTAGCTCACCCACGTGGATGGCTGGCACCCACCTTCCTTCCCGTGGCTCTCATTTATAAGGAGAAAACAGTCACTACAGTTTACAGAGTGCTTATTTGGTGCCAGACAGGACTACGGGTATTTTCTTGTATTATCACATTCAACTCTCCTAAGGGTCTTGAGATAGCCCATTTGACACATGTAGGGTCCATGCAGAGAGACGCCGAGTCACTTGCCTGCGGTCACACCTTGGAGGAGCAGCTTAGCCCCGCATCTAGACCACTGGATGCCAGACTCTGGCCTCAGCCATTGCTGTTTTCTGCTGAGTCCCAAGCTGCCAGTCCCCTGTGGTTTTATCTCTCATTGAAAATTAACAAACTGGTGTTTGGTTTGTAAGACAATGACTTGGAAGTGCTTAGGGCCTGCTAACAAAAGAGCCTTGCCACGCCAAGATAGCATTGTCATCTTTGGCTGTGTGAGCTTCCTGTGGAGTCCCCTTCCAGAAGGAGCAGCCCGAGGCTGTCTGAGGACACGCCCTGGAACCCGAGCACCCTCCCTCGCCCACAGAGCCTCCACCCAGCCAGTAAAGTTGCTGGGCTCTGAGACTAGAAAGGGCTCTCACCTGCCCCTCATCTCGCCCTAGATCTGGAAGCCCGAGGGAGGGGCACTGCAGGCTCCAAAAGGCCATGAAAGAGGTAAGCTCAGCTTTCCACTGAGCTGAGACTGGCTTGTATGGGCTAAAGAGGTGTGGTTACTACTGCAGGGTAAACAGCGTCCCCTCGGTACCAACCTGCATGCTCCAATGCCAGGCATGATGCTACAGTTCGAAGCGAATAAAACCCTCAGTGGAGCATATCAAAAGGCTTCTTTCTTTGGGTGTTTGGTTACACAGAGATAATTTACATAATCCTTAAAAAAAATTGTCTGCCAATCCCCAAGGCATGACAAGGTCCCTTGCCAAGAATAGAAAAATTGAACATTAGCTGTACATCCAGGACGTGGCCGTCTCACACAGCACACACTCAGAGCTTTGAGGCTGACTGAATGAATCAGAGACCTTCAGGGTTAAAGAGTGGGCTATTCTTATTAAACAACAGCAAGAACAACAGGCTCCGGTTAAATACAAGCCCCAATACATCCAGTGCATACAGGCAATGTGCCTGTATCCCCTAGGTCACAGTGTAAGGTAGAGTTGCCCAGGGGGCATGAGAAAGGTTAGTTCTGGGTGGGTAGGGTTCCAGCACCTGGCACAGAGGGGAGAAAGGCTGGTACCTAAATCCAAGGTGCAGGAAGTGTTTGCTTCCCAGCTTGGTCATAGCTTTTCGGGCCAGGTCATCCAGGTTTCGGGAGCCTTCATCATTCACCGCCACAGAAAGGATTCTGCCATCAGGAACCACACTCAAATACTGGACCAGGCGCTCGCTCTCTTTCTTGGATCTGTAGGTGTCAAATCTGAAAAGGGCAGAGAGAGGGAGAGGATTTGGGTAGTCTGAACAGCAGCCCAAAAGATTCTAAAAGTGTATCTGTGTTGCAAAAATTAATAGCCATCCAAAGATCCCATGGGCTGGGGCTCTAAACAAAGAAGCCTTTTCTTAAAGAGGAAGTGAGTGTAGGAACCTTACACAGCATGCGGTAGTAGCCAAGAAGGACCTGAATCGACCATCATGATAATCCATGGGTAAACTGCCCACGACATGTTGATTACAACGGCAGAGACCTCAAGTGCTGGTCTGTCACCTCACCCTGGGGGCGGGGGCTCCTGCCTCTTGTGAGAGCCTAACTTGAGGAGATAATCCTGACACCTCATTCATGGGGAGTTCTCTATGCTCGAGACTGAAACACTTCTCCAAATTCTTGGAAATGAAACGGAGGTGATTTCCCATCACACCTCCCACCACTAAAGCAGTCTGTTTATAGTAATACATTAGAATCATGAAAATGTCAGCACTGATTTACATAGTAGCAATGATAGAACCCTTAAGCACTATAAATACTGTTGCAGGCCTACTTTTTCCTGTTTATCCTTTTTTTAAAAAAATCATTTTACTATGCTGTGCTAAGAAGCCTTCTCATGAAGTTATGCCTTCAATAAAATTTTAAGTGTACAATAAATTATGGTTGAGTGTAAGAATGGTGTTATGCAACACATCTCTTATGGTAAGAACGGACTATCTCTAACTACATTTTTTTTTTATTTGTTTTCGTTTTTGAGATGGGTCTCACTATGTTGCCCAGGCTGGCCTGAACTCCTCAGCTCAAGCAGTCCTCCTGCCTCAGCCTCTGGAGCAGTTGGGACTACAAGAACAGGGTAGAAATTGATCATCTCACAGTTAACAAAGATAACGTTCCCTCATACAGTATGTATATAAGCTATGCAGGAAGTACAGATGCTTTTTTAAAAAACTACACTGCTGTTGAGAAGAATTTACAAAGGAAAGACAAGTTGGTAACAATCCCAGCTCATTCACGTAAATATAAAGATTTTGAGCAATTGCAATGGAAAGAATTTGTCTTGGAACTTAACAGGCAACATAGTTCCAAAATGAATGTAGAAAAACTAGCCAATGCAAATGGCCAAGGAGACCTTGAAGAAGAAAAACAGAGATGGTGCAAGTGGTAGCTGGCGAGGTACTCCTGGTGCCTGCTCCTTGGCTGCCAAACTTGTTTAAACTCTCAGCATAACCGGGTCCAGCCCTGCCTCATCCCTCCCCTTCACCGGCCCCAAGACCCACCTGCCTCCAAGTCGGCCCTTCTCAGAAACCCACAACAGCGCCACATGCCTGCTGCTGTCTCCGCTTGCTCAGCCCAGCCTCTTCCCACTTGATCAATCCCCTGCTGCTTTTCTGGACTGACCCAAGTTTCCGCTCTTCCAGGTAGTTTCTCAGGTGACTCTGGCTGTGTGCATGTGTGTGCACGTGCGTTAGCTAATGTATTTGTTTATGTGCTCAGCTATCAGATCTTTGAGTTCACCAAGGGGCTCTGGAGCAAACAGGCAACCTGCCTTGGTAACCTCCCCCGGCAGCTTCCTGACAGCCTTTTGTTTCTCTATGTAGTAGTTCATTAAAATCGAAGCCACACAGCTGCAGGAGCAGCACTGCCCCTATTGAGGAATCAGCCTTGATGGAGGGGTTCCTCATCAACCACTCTCGTCCTGCTTCATCTGATGGCTCAGGCTTGCTTTGCCCAGCTACCGCACAGGGCTGTCACCAGGATGCAACACAGATCTAGGTTTCTGTTACAGCTTCAGCCCTCCCCAACCTAGGACTCTGGCACAGGGGCCTCACTCACAGCACGTGGGTGCTAAGAGAAGGTTTGTGAAGATTAAGTACAGAGCATTACACACACCATACAGTGACTACACTGTGACCAGTACTGACCCAAGGTCACTTTAGGCGCCTTGTGTCCCATCTGGTGCCCGCTGCCTTTATGTGGACACTTGTGGCTTTGCCCTGCGGCTAGGAGTGCCGCTTCTCCCCCAGAAGCTCAGGAGCACCAGCTCTGCTTAGCTGTGTCCTGCCTGGGGACCTTTCCCCTGGCACTGGGACGGCTGCCCCTAGTGACTCAACTACTTCTTTACATCTCCTACTGTGTCTTTCTCCCCTTGTTACCAGCGATTGCAACCTGAGTCCAGTGTGCACCTGTTTGTGCAATTGTTAAATTCAACCCCATTATTAGCACTTTAGATGAGTGCTTTGAGACAACCCCGTTACAGCACCTGGTAGGACATGAGCTCATGTGCTCGTGCTGGAGGAAGGTATGCATGTGCAAGTGAAGGCCACCTTACCGATCAGAGTGGACGACTGTGCCAGATTTGGGGTCGATGACATGGACAATGACTCCGCGGTGGCCCCAGCTCCTTTCAAAAAAGTAACCTCCCTCCTCCATGCCCCCTGGGCGGAGAGTCTTGTTCAGAAATGTCCAGGAGAGCTTCTTTTGCCCATGCAGTTCCAAGGTGCCGCCCCTGTCCACACCAATGTACTTCAGCCCATAGTAAGGGTCTGGCTCGATGTCTTCGTCAGCTCTGAGAAAGAAAAGGTCCAAGCTGTGGGAACAGTACCTTGCTGGACATGGCCCCGCAGCCCTGTTCCCGAGCCCCACTGGTCCCATGCAGCTGGCCATGCTTTGGTGACAGCTTGGCAAATACAGCACTGGTCACCTGACCTCTCTATGTCAGGCCAATGGGAGGCCCCAGAGACTCGCAGAAAAGCCTGTGATTTTGCAGGTTGCTGCTTCTCCTCTTCAGGTCTACGTTTTGTATTCTGGCCCAGAGTGGTGATGGGATCACTTGGACCTATGTTGCTAGACCTGCACATTCTTGGTTACTGCTGCTGAGAACACTGCACAGCCAGAGACACCTGGCACATTAAGTCTGTCCATCATACCTTACTAAATAGACACTCTGACACGCCACCAACCATGACATGCATAGGAGGTCGTGGAAAGGCTGGCAGGGACCTTGGTGGCACAGATGGACACCAGGACCATGGTTAATAAAATGCCTCCTGGACTGCTCCAGTTTGCCCCAGTCATTGAGTCTGTCCTGTTCCCCACTGCTGTCTGGCAGGACACAATGACGGCTCCTGTCTTATGCTGGAATCTGGCTCTCTTGCCTCCCTCTCGGCTCTGCCTCTTCCCGTCAGATCCAAGAACAGCATCTGCCACCACGGGGCTAGGTTCTCCTACCTTCCATACAGAATGATGCTGAAATTGCCCTGGAAAGGGCAGCGGGCACTCCCAGCATGCAGCTCTCCTCCACTGTCAATCAGGATGTGTCGGGTGCGCAAAACAATGGGATCCTGACTGTCCTTAATGATGAGCTTGCCTGAAGAGGAGGAACAAGAGGCTTAGGAACACAGCGGGAGAGTAAAGTCGTAAGGAGCCACAGCAGACTCCCCAGATGCCCTCCTCAGCCAAGCAGGTGACCAAGTATTTCTTCCAAAGGCTGCTATGCTCACTCTCTGACAGGTGATTACTTTTCTCGTCTCCACTTTGCAATGCACATACAATGCCCATCTGGCTCACAGCTATCACTACCGTCACCGGTGACGGAATAGCTGCAGATGAGAGTGCAGGACCTCTCAGAGCACCAGTAAAGAGTTTCCTTACTTTGTTTTTTACCAAGAATGGGCCAGCCCTAGTCATTCCTAAGTGCTCAGAGTTGATGGTTATCACAAAAACCCAGAGCCTCTGACTCAAACCCAAAGCATGTAACATTCATTCCATTTAAGGACACAGCAGCTTGCACCCTCTATGAGGCTCTGGGGAGGAGAGGCACCAGCTTACCCCCCTGTGAGATGTTGATGGAGTGGACTGTGGCAGAGGAGGCAAGCAGCAGCATCCTGCCCTGGTTGATGTGTACATGGTGCTCCGGATCATGGCCAGGGTTCCAGAGCTGCAGCTCAGGGTTCTGGTCAGGGCATTCAGTAGCCACTGCCAAAGATAAAGAGATATCACTGCTCTCACCCACCAGCATCATCAAGCAAAGGCTGACCACAAGGCGGGAGGGTGTTTTACATCTTCCTGGCCCCTGTCTCCACTAGAGCCAAAAGCAAGACCTTGGCTATCAGAGGCACTCTGACCTAGGAGACAGCAGCCCTGGGGTGTGGTCCTGTGTTTCTTATTAGTTCACCATGTGCCTATGAGCAAGTCATTTCCCTTTCCTGGGTTCGGTGTCCCCTCTACAAGGTGAAGGGCAGACCAGATGACCACCCAAGACCTTCCCAGATCTGAAGTCATACAACTATTTACCCAGATTCCTTGGGTTCCAAGATATTCTGTCCTTGGGGAAGCAGTGTTTACAGAAAAGAGGTAGCAAAACCCTTTGCTGTTTTGCATGAGAATTTGAATTTTGGTTCATTTTCTAGTTCTGTTCTTAGAAACTTAAAAAGGATAGTTCTATATAAACTAGGTTATCAAGCATTGTGGTTTATAAGAAAAGTGACTTTTGACTAGTAAAAGGTCCTTAAACTGGGAGGAGCTGTGAATGCTTTATTTTCATGTCTGGTGGAGATGTGATGCTGTGAATGTACTTGCAGTGCAGAATCTTGTGATCAGACACATGCTTTGCAAGGACCTTGAGAGTGATATCTAAGAAGTTGCTGTGAGAGATACTGGCTCTGCTGGGGCATGAGGCTACTAAGCCATGGTGCTTCCAGTGACAGTCTTACCCCCCACACACACACACACCTCCTGAGCTGTCACTTGGGGGATCAAAGGGCACAACTGGATGGCTTTGTGAAGGAGTTGGCTTTCCAGCTCCTCTGTTGGAAGTCTGTCCTGCCCTACTGGAGTCTGATGCAAAGGTAGCAGGTGGCTGCCTAGAAGGCTCCAGGGTAACTGCAGCTTTTTTCTGCCTTGCCAGAAGCACTGGGAGGCACCTGAACTTTCATGAGTCTAAAAAACCTGTGCTCTTGCAGGGTGGCCAGTGGGTAGAGCTTGTCTTAGGACCTGGAGGAAGGTCCATAGATAGCCAGGGGGATCCATAGGGAGGACAGGCAAGGCAAGGTGAGCATGGTTGGCTCATTCTCCTGTCTTCTGTAACTAGATTTCAGGATAACTTGGTGGTGCAGTGTCTTAATCGCTTTTCTGGTTACTGGGACATAATATTTGATACCTGCAACTTAAAAGAGGGGAGACTTATTTTTGCTCATATTTTAGAAGTTTCAGTCCTTGCGTGGTTGGTGGCATGATAGAAAGGCTGGGTATAGAAAAGGTACTCACCTATGGAAGCAGGAAGCAGAGAGAGAAGAGAGGAGCCTGGGGGGGACATACTCTCTCCCAGATTATATCCCTAGTGACCCACCTCTTCCAAGCAGGCCCCACCTCCTAACAGCACATGAGTTATAAACTCATCAATGAACTAATCCATTGATTAGTACAGCACCCCTATGATCCAATCACCTTCCACAAGTCCCTGCCTCTGAGCACATGAGGACATCTAGATAGAATCCATACAGGTAGGTGATGGGCAGTCAGCCCATGGCAAGACCAGGGGAAGATGGTGCAGGAAGGAGCAGAAGCCAGGCCCACAACACAAGCCTGAGCAAGGGGCAGAGGAGAGATTGGGTCCTGCAGGTACAATGGTGATATGAGCCACATGCACCCCAGAGGGGCTCTGGTTTCTCTGCCTTTTCTTCAGCTGTGGGAGTATGATAGCACTTATATCTAAGTATCTCAGGGAAAGCAAAAGGAGTCATTCCTTTACCTAGCTCCACCACACCAGCCAGGGTTCCCCAAGTCCACAATAGCTCATGGTTGAAGCAAAGCTCAGTGTAGACACTCTATGTGGTTGCAGAGCCCCACCCCATCCTCCTTCCTCAGCCACAGTGGTTGCTGAGCCCCAGGCCCATCTGTTATGGCTTAGATCAAGAATATCCCCCACATGTCTCATGCACTCATATATGGGGCCTTGTGGAAGTGATTAATTATGGGAACATTATAGCTGACTTGCTATGGGAAGGTGGAATCTTGTCAGAAGAGGTGGTCACTGGGGGCATGATCTGGAATGGTCTGTCTCCCTCCCCAGTTCCTTCCTTTACTCTCTGGTTCCTGACCACCATGGTGTGAGCAGCTGTCCTCCACCCAGGTCCTTCCACCATGCTGCCTCTGCTTTGGAGCCAGACATAAGCCAAAATAAACCTCTCCCTCTTTAAACTGTGGGTGTTTACAGAAGATCAAGATTAAAGGTTCTAAACTAATTAATCTGGTGGAGGAAATTTCAAGACAGCTCAAAATTCAGGCTGTAGCATGGATACTACTTGCTGCTTTTCGCCAGGTTTATACTGAAGCAAGAAAAAGTTCATGTGAATAGTCTTCAGTTTCCCCAGAAAGAAAAGGGTTACAGAGTTTTGGCAAAGGAGAGTTTGGTTGCCAAAAAGATTAGCATTACAAAATAAACCAAGTGCTTTGCATCAGGACAATAGGAAGGATGCATTGCCAGCATTGCAAGAATGAAAAAGAACCCCCTCTTTGCAGACTTAAAGGGTGCAAAGCTGTAAAGCTGTCATTTGAAAAGAAACCCTCAGGGATCCCAGATCTTTCAGAACCAACTAGAAAAGAATTTCCTGGAGTTCTTCCATCCAAGCACTCAGAGGCCTCTGCAGCTATGATCTAAGGGAGCCCAGTTATTTCTTAAACTGGCAGCAGACCTTGGCATTATCCATGTAGTACTGGTTTTATAGGCATGCAAAATACAAGAGTTATGGGGTCATGGAGGCTTTCATCCAGATTTCATAAGAAGGTCTGGTAGGCCAGGCAGTGTGCCCCTGAGAGGGCAGTGCACAAAGCTGCAAGAGTGAAGCCAAAAATGCAGGGGAGAGCCCAGGAAGTTGGAAAAGCCAAGAACATGGAATGTCTGCTGAGGAAGGCCTCAGGCAGCAAGCAAAACCAGCCCAAGAGTGAGACCATGGGGGATCCAGCAAGTGATGTAGTAAGGGCAGGGCTGCCCATGTCCTTTGGAGTTCACATCATATCATCAGAGCTTGCCTTGGGTACAGGACACTGAACTAGAGGATTTAATGTTTGCCCTGCTTGGTTTTGCTCTTGCTTTTGTCCCATCCCTTTCTATTCTCCTGTTCCTCCTTTTTGGAATGGGAATATTTATCCTGTGCCATTGTATGTTACAAGTGTTTGATTTTTACAGGGGATCACAGCTAAGAGGTACCTTGAGTCTCAGAGGACACTTTGGGACTTGGACTTTTCAGCAATGTTAAAACTTTGGTGACACTTAGAGATGGACTAAATGCATTTTGCATAAAGAGATGCAGATGAGTGTGGTGGGGGGGCAGTTAGAGGCAGAATGCTATGATTTAGATCAAGAGTGTCTCCCAAAGGCCTCATGTGCTCATAGGCAGGGCTTTGAGGAGGTGACTGAATCAAGAGGGTGATGTAACTGACTTGCTGTCAGGAGGTGGGGCCTGGTCAGAAGAGGTGAGTCACCAGGGGCATGACCTGGAAGGATCCATCTCCCTCCCTGGTGCCTCCCTACATTCTCTGCTTCCTGGGCACCATGACATGAACAACTGTCCTCTGCCAGACCTTTCTGCCATGTCATCTCTGCCTTGGAACCAGTTGGCTATGGACTGTAATTGTGAGCTAAAATAACCCTCTCCTCTTAAATTGTGGGTGTTGGGTACTAGCTGTCAGCAATGAGAAAGTTGCTAAGACACCATCCTCTCCCTAGCCCTACTTGTTGCCAGACCCAACCCCTATCCTGCCTCCCAGGACCACTGGAACCCTCCTTATGCTCCGCCTACCTCACTGTGCTCTGGAGATCAGGCTTGGGGTGTCCTCCATTAAGAAAACTCTACATTTTGGGGGATTTTCACTAAAGCAGCTTTTCTAGCCATCAGAAGCCCCAAGGGCTCAGTAGTGGCAATGTAATGAAACATGGGACATCCCATGCTCATGGAAGGCCAGAGTTGTTGCCGGCAAGTGCCAGACTCTCATTCTGTATTGGGCTGCCCAGACTGCTCATGTGAGCCAGGGCCTGGAGCCTTCCCTGTCTTGAACACCTGGTCAGTCTCCAAGGCATCCCTCCCAGCCATGTGATGAATGGAAATGGCTGAGTGGGCCCAGGGGCCCAGGTAGGGAGACCTAAGCAACCTCAAGGAGGCATTCTTACTCCACAGTACAAGGCCTCAGGCCTCCGGCCCACCAAGGACTACCTAAAGTCCATTTCGCTTTCTGAGTGTAGGAGCTGGTAGCAGACTGAACCTGGCTTTGGAGGCAGGGGGCTTGTTGGCCACAGGGAGCCCCAGCCCAGCCCCCCATGGCCCCAACCATGGCTATGACTGGCCCAGAGCAACACTGCTCTGTGTGGCTAGATGTTGTACATTGGGACAGCCAGCCACAGTGAATTTCCACTTATGGATCAGTGAGGGGCTGAACAGTACGTTTGCTGAAATGTCACTATGGCAACCACTCCAACTTCCCAGGAGGGCCATGTGGCCCCATGGGGCATGGATGGCTGCTTCTGCACCCCATGGCACTAGAGAAGAGCTCAGGTGGAGGGGACAGGGCCCAGACAAAGGTGGAAAGCTACGTCTCAGACCTGTGATCCTTTTGTCTAAACCCTCAGAGTGGTTTTTGAAAAATTTGAATTAGATATTAACATTTAACAACTAGGGCACATTTATATAAAAATCTACATTTCTGTTCCTCTTAAGAATTCATGTGCCATTTCGCAGGGCAGCAGTTTCAGAACCAGGAAGTGGGTGAAACTTTCAAGGGCCCCCCTGCCCTGGGGACACCAGTCCCTCCCCACCTGCCCCACACACCAGGTTTCAAGCCTGACTCTACACAACCCATGATCCTGCGGGCCAGGAGACAGTGGCCCAGGACGACACTTGCCTGGGATCTCAGAGTCTGCCAAGGATGGGCCAGACTAAAGCCCCCGGCTTCACCCTGTGACTCCTTCTCCTGCTCCCTCTCCCCCGCAGCCTGGATGGCCACTGTGCCTTCCACGCAGGACAGCTGGTGCCACTGCCCCAAGGGGCTCACCTTTGGATGTGACCCCAGGGAAGAGGACCAGGATGAGCCATGCTGTGGCCAGCACAGCCTTGAGGGGTATGTGCTGCTTCTGCCTCACCACAGCTCCCATCCTGACAGAGCGTGCCCTGAAATTAAGCACAGGCATCAAGTGTGAGGACAGACAGGGACACACACACACACACACACACACACACACACACACACACATGAGGCAGGGATGGCACACTCCAGCTGGCCCAGAGCAGCCCTCAGCGCCATGATCCAGGGCTGGGCAGGTCAGGGCACACAAACCCTGCTCAGACAGAGCAGGCACCTGAGGCCCTTCCCCTGCAGAATGAATGAAGCCTTTTCTTAAGCAACAGAGAAAAACAAAAACAACCCCGGTAAACACAAGCTGGAAATGAGATGCTACCAGTTTGCTGTGTGGCCTCAGAAGATTTGCTTCACCTCTCTCGATCTTGGGATCCCAAAGGGCAAAAGGAGAATGTGGACTGATTTCTAACCTTTACATCAATGGTCTATACTTCGAAAGCCAGTCCTGGAGGACTGTACTGAAAACCTAAATATAAATGCCTACATATTATAAATCATCTTCCTAGTACCCGCCCAAGAGGAAGGTGGGACAAAGATGGCAAATCACTCCTCAACGTCTACTTTGTCCTCCTTCTTTAGTGACACATGGCCATCAAGGATGAAGCCCACCTTCCTCAGGCTCCCTTGTGTGATCTTAGAGAAATTCTACAGAGAGCAGAAGTACTGGAGATGTGTAAAGTCCAGAAAATGCCCTCTGAGAAGGGTGGGAAGGTTTTATTTCTTCCTTCCTCCTTCCTGCTGGCTGGAATGCAGACGTGATAGCTGGATTTTTCAGCAGCTATCTTGGGCCACGTAGTAGGAGCCTTGAGCAGAGAATGGCAAAGCCTAGTCCCTGTGCGGCATGGAAATAGCCCAAGGATTGACTGACTTTTATATTTTGAGAGAATTAAAGTCCTACTACATTAAACTTCTATTTTATAAAAGCCACTGTTCGTTTGTTCCTTTTCGCATATGAGAGGGTGAAGTAGGGCTCACAGACACTGCCCTTAAACCAGCTCAGCAACAACTCTGATCCCCAAACCTCCCCTCACAGCGGCGCTCTGTGTGTGCTCAGTGAGCCGGGGCAGGCAGAGGGGTCCCAGAGGAGCTCCCAGGCCCCACTTGGTCCTCACAGGTGCATGGGCAGGGCAAGGGGCGGTGTCCTCTTACAGGCACCTGCCTGCCCAGACCGAGTCCCAGAACAACAGGCCCTTTCTAGTGCTTCAGCAGGCCGTGAGGCCATGCAACGTGGCCCTGAGGAGCAGCGCCCTTCCCACCCCCAAGAAGAAAGCTCCATTTCACACTCTCCACAGCAGAAAGGAAGGGATAGCAGGACACGGATGCTCCGTGGTCCTGGGGCAAAGCCAGAGCCAACTCTTCTCAGGGCCCAAAGGAGGCTTGTCCTCCACTGCCAAGCAGCCTGTGTCCTTGGGGCCCGCTCTGGGCCGGCAGCGACTCAGTGCAGGGACTGGAGGTAGCACCCTATGGCCCTCCCTGCCCAGCACCCTCTGTGACTCTGCGGCCTCACCCTTCCTGTGGGCAGAGGGAGGAGGGCGGTAACCTCATCTGATGAGGTCACGGGTCGTTTCAAAAACAGAATGATAAGAACACCCTTTCTGGTAGATGTGAGAACAGCTGTGTGCAGAGGGTCCCCGCCCCCTAGCATGAGCGAGGCTCCCACGGGTCACAGCCAACAGTTCAAGCTGTGGGAAGCAGCGATGGCCCTGCCCGGGAGCCCTCCGTGACAGGGACCATGCTTTCCTGCCTGCGGCTCCTCCTGCCCGAGCACATGTGGCCCCGGGTGCATGCTGTGTCCAAGAATCCCGGATGGTTCCGAGTCCTCCGGGAACTCTGCCGGCACGGGAGGGTGGCCTTCTCCACTGGGCACCAAGAGCTTGCTGGCGGGTGGAGCTGGGCCCGGTTCTCAGCTGTGGAAACAGCTCGCTGCACGGTCCTTGGAGCAGCGTGCTGTCACAGTGTCAGAGTCCGTGCAGGACTTGGGGACACAGTCACGATGGTCCTCGAAGCGGATGGTGAACAGGCGTGGCAGACCCAGTGCAAAGGGAAACGCAGACAACCCCAGGCCAGCACTTGTGGTGACCCCATGAGTCCTCTCGAGAGCTGGCCCAACTTTCCCGGAAGCTCTGAGTTCCCAAGTCCAGCTGCCCCTGGCCCGGGATCTGCCCAGCCTCCCAGGCCCAAGATGATGAGGCAGAATGGGGGGTGGAGGTGTTGCTTCCTGGTCTCTGGCTTCTCCTCGGCTCGCAGGTACCTGGGCTCTGCTCATCCCTCAGGGAGCCCCCGCACGTCACCTGCAGAGGAAAAGAGATGAGATGATGAGCAGAGGGGCACAGGGACCTCCAGGGAGGCCGGCAACAGCACCCAGGTGAGCCCACCCGCAACATCGAGGCCTGGGGTGGGCATTCCCAGCCTCCGACCTCAAGGCCAGCGCTCGGCAGGACCAGACAGGACTGGATGCATCAGAAATAGAGGAGGCTGGGAGGTCAGGCAGCTTCGAGGCTGGATGGGAGCTGAGGGGGCTCCTTCTGGGGTAAGAGGCAGAGGGACCCCCCCTCCACTGCCCATGAAAATCACGAGGGAAACTGAGGCAGGCTCAGTCCACACAGGGTATGGCAGCAGCAGAGCCCTGATCCTCAGCCCCAGCCTGGGCTGCGTGACCTACCGGCTCCTTGACCTCTCTGGGTCTTGGTCTCCTTATCATTGCCATGGTGCAGCAACACTACTTGAAAACAAGTTATTACTGTGAGGCTCAAGGGGTTCTGCTGGCTCAAAACGCAGCTCACAGCCCCTGGTCTCCAGACCCCAGGCTGTGGGAGGCGCCCGGAGGACTCAGCCGCAAACCCTGCTTGTGACCTACATCTTGCGGGGCAAGTACACAGGAGCGTGCTCCAGAACCCCTGGCTGCTGTCCTGCTGGGCACAGGAGGGAGAAGAGACAGATCCAGTGACCGGATGTCATCCAGACCCTCTCCCTCCACGGCACTCAGCAGAGTTCAGGAGAGATATTTGATTTGAGTCTGACGAGCATGGACACTGTCCTTACATTCATACCTGTGGGCATAGGTCACTTTCCTCCTCCTAGGAGGTGGCAGGCATTGGAACCAACCTTGGGAATTGCATTGGGCGCAGTCTGATTTACTCTTGGCTGCCACGTACAATTATGTGTCTTTCCTGGGCTGAACTGTGAGCCCCAAAACTCCCTGTTCAAGCCCTGGTTACCAAGGACCTCAGGCTGAGACTATTTGGAAACAGAGACTTTAAAGTAATGAAGGTAAAATGAGATCATATGGCTGGGTCCTAATCTAGGGTGATGGTGTCCTCCTGGAGCCGGTGTCCAGGTGGCACACAGTACTTTCTTAGGACAGCCTGAAGCTGTGGGTTGGACAAGGGTTCCTGAAGGCCGATGTGTTAAAGGTGGGGTGAAGTTGGGAGGTGGTAGGGCCTTTCAAGGGCAAAGACTAGTGGGCAGTCTTAGGTCCAGGGGGTGTGTCCTTGAAGGGGATTGTGGGACGTCATCTCCCACCATACCTGGAAGAGAGCACCTTTTCCTCCTCGTGCTCCTGCTGCAGTGTGCTGCTTCATCACAGACCCAAAAGCAACACGGCCAACTGACCATAGTCTGAAACCCCTGAAACTGAGCCCTAACAGGCCCTTTCTCTGCGTCAGCTGGCCAGATGGGGCAATTGGGTGCACAAAGTGCTGCATTTGCTAAGGTTCAATCCTTAACAGGTGGCAAAGTCCAAAGCCTGCTTCTCCAGAATTGTGCTTCTAATTCCTAGTAGTTAAACTACATGCAGTATAGTCACAGGGTCTTAGAATACAGGGGGTGGTAGGAGTCTGAGAAACCCTGCTAGCCTGCCTCCAGACTGTATGCACATGGAGTGACTCTGGGGCAGCCGCACTTACACTGCAGGTTCTGATTCTGCAGGCCTGGGGTAGGGCTAAGGCTCTGTCGAGGGTCACAGGGCTAGTTGGTGACTGTCTGCATTTGAACCCAGGTGTGTGGCTCTGAAAACTGGCCACACCCCTGCCATCTCTCACCCGGCCTGTGGGAAGAGTGAGTGTTTGATCTGAGCCATCTCTATGCCTTATAGACAAAAGGTGATTTGGAATCAAGCAGGAGTGCGGGCAAAGGGAAGGCAGACAAGAACCTCTCCACCTCTCTCGTGGTCATGGAAGCCTAGTGTCACCCTTTCCATAAGAACAGGGTCTCTGTCTAGTGAAACCTCTAAATCCATGTCAAGGCTCCTAGAGGCCCAGTGGGGCTGCTGAGATGTGGTTCCCCCAGAAGGGAAAGCCCCTGCACCGACAGCAGTGCAGAAACCTCTGACACGCTTGGCAGGAGCCCACCCGCCTCTCCGAAGTCAGGCAGGGTAACAAGCCACACCCACTCCCTCCATCTGCCTCTTGTCCCCTCACCCCCCTGCAGGGAAATGCAACTCTCTAGTCTTCTGGTCCTGAAGCAGCAGCCACAGAGAAGAAGGAGAGAGACAGGGAGGCTCTAGCCCCCTTCTGATGTCACAGGTAGACCTGGGAGTAGGCCCAGCCCCGGGGAGGCCCCAGCCACTGTGCCAGCCTTGTCTCCGAGTGGTCACTTTCACAGGGTCCATGGGACCCCAGAGGTAAGGGCGCCGCTCGCTCCTCAGAGAGAAGCTCTTGGAAAATGCTTTTACAAACTGAGCGCCTCCCAGTGGGAAGCACCTGCTCCCTCCACCTGAGTGACTCCAGCCCAGAGCTCTCTTGGCTACAAAGCTTGGGACACAGTCCAAAGCTTGGTGCCTTCCCCAGAAACTATGCTGTCTCCTAAAGGTGAAGAAAAGGCATAGCCTCGGGCTCACCAGAGCAGAGCTGATAGGAAGAAAACACCCACACACACTACGGAGCCAGCACATCAGCCCCAAACAAAATGTTAAAATGCAGGTTCTCACTCGCAGCTCTGGGCTGGGGCCCGGCACTATGTCTCCCGCAAGAGCTCATGTTCTGAGCAGCCGGAACCATGTTCAGCTCACCCTCCTCTGCCCACAGACACAGAGACTGCGGCCCACGGAGTAGGAGAGAATTGCTCACATTGATCAATATGAGAGCGGAGTCACTGTCTGCCTTCAAAGAATGGGACACATGTTGTTTTCTCCATCACCCTGCTTGCTTGGGAGAGGTGACGGAGAAGAGGAGTTGGTCCCCGCACTGCTGCTTCTGTTTCATTTGAGATGCTACTGCAGGTCAGAGTTTGGGTAGTAAACACACGCCTCGGGTACTCTCTATCTATTCATAATTATCTTTCCCCTAAATACACGTCCTTTGATACAGGGAATTCCCACAGGAGCCACCTGCAGAGCCAGAGAAGAGATGCTACAGCACCCAGTAGTAGCAGAAATCCCCATCTCAGACCTGCCCCGTGCCCAGGCAGAGCAGAGGGAATCCTGTCCGATCCTGCTTATCGCCAACTCCAAGCCCCTTATCACACCACCGGATCAGCCACGGGGTTGGCGGCTTCGGAGCTTTGCCAGTGCAGCTGGAGCAGGCGGCTCTGCCACCATCCTTCTTCCTACCCATCCAATGCCCCCGGCCTTGGCAGCCACGGGGGCCCCCGTTGCTAGTGCTGTGGAAAAGGAAGGGAAGACTTCTTTCAAGGGGCCCGGCTCATCTCCAGGTGCCAGGCACCAAAATAGAAAGGGTGGGCACGACCCTACCAGCCAGCCATGGATTTCCTAACAACTCGCTTGCGGTTAAACCCAGAAGCAGGAATTCAGGTCCCAGACAAACCTAAGCTTCCTTTGTTCAGAGCCACGCTGCCTCCCCCAGTAGCCGCTGGGCACGGGAGCCAGGTCAGCTTAACTAAAACGAGGCAAAATTAAAATTCAGCCCTCACTCACACTAGGTATATTCAGAGAAAGCCACAGCTGTGTGTGGCTCATGGCCACCACCCTGGGCAGCAGACATGGGTGACCTCCATCGCCATAGACACTGCTGCTGGTTTGGAGCTCCAGTGCTCAGTGGTTTAGAAAACACCAACTAGACCTACAGATCTGCTCAGAGCCATGGTCCCCATGCTGTTGACCCGGACAGCAGTGTTGGCACTGCCAGTGAGACTGCAGAGCACAGCTCCACCAGAACCGTGAACCCACCGGGTCAGAAACTCCAGCGGCAGGCCAGTGATCTGCTTTGACAAGCCCTCTAGGGGATACTGAGGCTCTGAGGGCAGTGTCCCCACATCCTGTCCCAGCTCTTTCTACGGCCTCTCATCACACCCAGTGTGCCACTCACTCAGGGTTTCACTGACATCCCTGTACCACCACCACGGACTCAGCCTCAATTGTCTGCCTGCTGCTGCCGTGGTACAGGGTGCAGGGTGTGGGGGACCCCTGGAAAGCCACCTCCAGCCTCCCTGTGAAGGCTGTATCTCCCCGTCATGAGAGGGAGCATCTGTGCTCAGGTACCTGTGCGCTGAGAGAAGCCTGGCCCTGAGCTGTGAGGTGCCACGCAGAGGTGTGCGCAGTGCAGGGAGACCTGTGTAACATGGCCAGCTCGGCCTCCAGCCCAGGGCTGTCTGCACAGCACCACCATGGCGTTATGCGACCCTGCTCTTGGGAGCCTCATCTTGCTTCCTAAATGGGAACACCTGTCTGCCATCTCACACCATCAGGTGGGTGAGAGAGGCAAAGCTGTCCTGCCTGGAACAGGTCCTCAGCATCCTTACAGATCAGTGTATGTGAGTAGGTGTTTGGGGACAGCAGCTGTCACCTAGCTTCAGAGACAAGCTGGTTCTGTTTTCCCTGGGCATTGTCCATGGAAGGGCTGTGGGGCATGGCCAGGTCGGATGGTGCTAAGAGCATCAGACGGCAGAACTCAGAGACTGTGGGAAAGGTGAGTAGCCTCTCCAAGACAGAGCAGCCACTTGGGGCTGCCCAAGCCAACCACTGGGTCACACATCCCACAGCTGGTCCTGTGCACCCTGCCGGCTCAGATGGGAAGTGATTGTAGCCAGAAACACTTCACCAATTGTATTTTCTAACTGAAAATACTGCATCAGCTTTGAGCACAGCTTTCCTCCTGGCCTGAGGCCACCCTGTGCATGCCCACTTGTTTCTGAAGCTGCAGAAAGATTTCTGCTAAATGTCCCGCTCCTGTGTCCCATCCTAGCACCCCCTGCCGGGCTTGAGAGCAGCCCTGCTCCTCGCCGGGTTCTCTGAGGGTCCTCTCTGACCCGCTCCCTCACTGAGGTGCTCCTGGCCAGGTGGGAGGACAAGGGCATGGCGTCCATGCAGGCTGAGAGGGTGGAGCTAGGCAGACGC